CTGATTTTCTTTAGAGAATTGTCACCTGAAACTTTCGTGATATGAGAAAATTTAATGTCTGTTGTTTTCGGATTGTTAAAAATGTTGTTTTGGGTAGCGAAAAATGGTCAGCTATCATTTTTGGTAAACTGATTTCGAACAAGAAATATTAACTACTTTGAACTCAACCTCTTTTGGACAGTTACTAATGCCATACCCTCTCAATATTCAGAACTAATATTTTTGTAGCTCCAGCAGAAACCGAGTCACTTATGCTGATGAGACGAACATTGTAAACAAAGATTCTCCTAGTCTCCGTTCGATTAGTCGAACTCCATCGAGCCCCAATCACGCGATTTGGGTCGATTGAGTTCGGTACTCAAACGCAATCGAACTCTCACAATCGAGCTCAATCGAACGTTCGATTACGTTCGATTGGTTTCTACTCAGTTCGACCCGGATTCGATAAGGTTTAATCACGTTCGATTTGAGGTCATGTGGCATGGAGAATGCAAAACAAAAGTCCACAACTGGGCTACTTGGGCTATTAAAGACTCCGTAGGTTGATGAAAACAAATCATAAAATGGAATGGAACTACACTGAAGTAAGATTTTTTGATTGCGTTCGGTTGAGTTCGTTGGGTTCGATAAGTTCGGACATCGAACACAATCGAACTTCCTTTGGTTCTAATGAGTTCGATTATCAAACTATTCGAACCCAATCGTTTGATTAAGTTCGATCAAATTCGATTACCGAACAGTTCGATTATTAATGTCAGGTATAGTGTACACTAACACCGATGTTGTTTATTCACAGAGGCTGTGAAATTTTAAAAGAGTTTTACAACTACAGAAACTGATTCCAGCTAATTCTACGATTTTGCGAATGTGTCGTGATCGACTCCTACGAAAGGGCGACATAGCATTTAATAGAATTGCCATTGTGGTCAGGCGTAATATCTCAATGCACGCAACGGGATTGTAAATTAAAATGACATCTTGTAATCGGAAGTGAGGAACAATGAAATGGCAAAGGGGTACCCCACCCACTCCTCCCACGCTTCACGCCCGTTTCCTTTCGGACTTAGCTGACGCGACGAAATCATGTCAATAACGACTCCACCTTGCTACTGAAGCTGCCTTTTTCCTTCACTACGATCAGGCGTTGGTTCGATTACTAGCCGCTGTTCGCCGAGAAAGGAACCGGCGCTCCTCCCCCGAACTCTCTTCTCGAGGAGGAACGTAGAGCGTACTGGAGTGAGCGGGGGAAAATCGAGCCCAGATCAAGCGTTGTTTTCTCAGCGCAAGAAACAGGAAAAACATCTTGATCTCAGGTCACTCTTTTCGGGACAGAAGTTCAAGAGTAGCTCGATTCTGCACAGCTACCCGTTGTGAATTTCACTTTAAACGCTGCAATTTGAAGCTCAGAAAAGAAATCCCTCACCGATGAACTGGACTTTGAGCTGTCTAAGTACAGAATGAAATTCTGTGACTTTTTTATGAAACGTATCTGTTGTTGACCTACAGTGCGTTGTTTAATGACTGTTATCAGTACAGTAGTGTTGATTCTTCAAGTGTGCGTGACAAATGCTGTTTGTTATATTGACATAATCACAGGGCCCAGACTGGATATGCAGTTCTGGGGTGAACCCCATCTGCACGCTTCATAGCCTTACTCACGCTATGCGTGAAGGCAACACCTTGTCGTCTAAAGCTTTTCAGAGATTTCTTTGCTAGAATTGTTAGTGAAACATCGACATGACCTAACTCTTTTCCACTGTTTACTCTTTTCACTACAACTGTATTTCTTGTTCAATAATCTATTGTAAGGAATCACCCATTTGCCTTCCATGGCCGTCAAGTCCCGGTTGTTAAGGGTTGGAAAACGATATATAACCGCAAAATCACTTTTCTAGTGGAAAAGTCAAATAGCTTTTGCTTTAGCACTTTATCTACTGAATGGTGATTTATTTGGACGTTAGCCTTTTTTACACTTTGAACAACCGGAGGTCAGGATTTCTGAAACCAAACAAAGTCCAATCCGTAATCTTAATAATTCTCGTATTCAGTTATGCCCCCGAGACACATTAATCTTTCAATCGTTTGCCGCACTTCTTATAGGCACTTCTGTTTAAAGACATTTACGTAGCTTGGTGCCTGGAATTGAGCGGGTTGGCTCGTGTTCGTTGCTAGGTGTTGGCACAAATGTAGAGTTTGGTGTGGTGGAGGGTTGCAACATGTAGTGTCACAGATTTGGTGCAGGTTTAGCTCAGGTGTTATAGAGGGTTAGCATTGGACAACTGGGTTGGTACCGGATTGTTGACGTGTTTGTACAGATATAAGACAGCTCTGAATTCACGGAAGCGGTGGAGGAATGGAACAGGATTGGTGGAGAGTTAGCGTAGGACTAGCTGGGTAAGGTTTACGCGAGTATGCAGCAAGGGTCGGTTTTGAGGTGAATTGGCGCGGATTAAGCCCTGGGTAAGTGCCGGTGTCGCCCAGATAGCTCAGGTGTTGAGAAAGGCCGCCAGAGGGTTGGCGCATGCACAGATGTAGGGGGTAGCCAAAGGTTTTAGCGCGTGGTTGGCTCAATGTTAGCACAAAGGTTGTGCAGTCTTTTTAAGCGTGCATCTTGCGTCAATGTGATCAGTAGATTCAAACCCGGCGCGGCTAGCTCTGGCGCGTGATGACATTAATTTGCAGTCGCTTCCGGATCAGACAATTATTTTCTTTCTTTACAAAAGACACAACATTTCTAACGTCCAATTCATTCATTAGTACATAGGTTTTATTTCATTGTTATATTTTATTTCAGCGCGCATTAGCCGTTAAACCTTTTTATAACAGAATGCACAATGAGATTATTCTTCATATGTTTTGAGGACGCAAAAATGAATCTGAAAGGCTCTCCGCAGGCTAAACCTCTAGCTAGCTATAACTTCAAGCTCTTTGCAATTGCTTTGTGGGCATTCTGTCATTGTTGTCTTTATCCTCTGATCTGTATTTGCAAGAGAAGGTTACACTAGGTTTTCACAGAACCCTTTGCACTTCTAAGTCTTCTTCTGCAACCGCAAACTGAGCTTATCGAAGATACCCCGACACCGGCGTCATTCGCCGGTTCATAAAGCGACAAGCGAAGCCACAATAGCCTTCCCTGTTGAAGTTAGTTTATAATATGTAGACTTATGTCCTGTGGTAGATAACAGCGTTGTCCATATAGACTATACAAGTGGTTCTAGCTACCACTACCTTTTGAAAGAGCACTCGGAAGTGATTCGAGACACCGCTGTCAGTTCATGAGGTAGATATGGCTGGTAGAACTGTGCACTAGGGCGATGAAAAATAACAGCATAACAGCCTAAGCGATAAAGTTTATTTCAAAAGCTTTAATTCCGACTAAGTGCCTGATAGAACAATTGCCAATTCCAGTTATTGGATTTGCTCACAGTTCCGAGCTTACTTACCGAAGATATTATCCGTTCACGGCAACACAAGCCGATTAACATCCCGTGCGATATCTCTTTGTCACCTCTATACCGCCACGTTATTGCCCGCTCATAAACTCAACACTAGACAGTATCTACTGGTTTAAGTTCTTTCAAGCTTGTCTACGTCCCAGAGACTAAAATCCCTGATTATTTATCATAAATCCTTTTAAAGTGATAACCGCTTTGATCTACACCAATTTTGGTTTGGGTGTGGCAAAACAACGTATGCCGCTTTGTCTAGAAAGTCGATCTTTCAAGAAGAGCTAAGATTTGTTTGTTTAGTCTTTTTTTTGTTCCCATGAACAGTGATTATATCAAAAAATTCTCATCGTCAAAAACAGAAAACGTATTTTTCTACATGTTCTCGTATAGTATTCGTGCTTTTTTTATATATAAAAATCTGTAAATATTTGGCAGAAAACTACAAAGTACTTAACCTAATGTATGGCTTTGTAGATTGGACGAACAACTTTTTTTAATCATAACTATGAAAAGGTTTTACAGGTGAGTTTCAAAATGTATTATAGTAAGGATTAGAAATTAACGCAAAGATTGTACCCTTTGCTGTCTCAGCGAAATTTTATCTACTGTAGCTAGCGCCGCACAATATATAGAATTTTGATTTACCGGTGAACATAGACGTACAAAATACCAAGAGAATAAAATATCACATCCGCCCGCAGCTGTTGAGCAGCTGCGTTTTGGGAACTTATATCAGATGTCAAAATTTTAGCTTCGTGACTGTGCAAGTGGACTATATATCTGCCATTCGAAATTACGCCATTTCCCCAAATTTTCGTTCAGATTTATATTCGATAAAAACAGTTTTCCCTTACAAATTTTCCTTTTTTTGCCGGAATGCTTTCACTGCGAGTTTCAGGTACTTTTCCGTTTCGGGCAATGGATGACTTCAGTCAACGTTTTGGTTGATATGACTCTGATTTGCTTTGGCAAAGCTGATCGTTACTATAAAAACAGGTAGCTGAAAAAAACGGCCCAAAAAAGTCGTTCAGATTTCCATGCGTTTTCTACATTTCTCTCCAAGGTAAAACGAACTTTTCATTAATAACAATTTACCGTCCATCATAAATTAAGTCGATCTGTTGACAGAACGTTCAGCGGCAAAAACTCGCGATAAATAATGGGAACCACTTAAAACGACAGGCAAGTCAGTCAATACCCGCCCGTATTGACTTTCTTGGCCTTCGTAATTAGCATATGACATTTCTCACCAGGTCGAGAAATAATGAATATTCAACGCAATATTTTCGGCGGACTGACTGTGTATTGTTTCACCAAAAAAAATATTGTACGCTTCGCTGACAATTGGTCAGTGTTAGCGTTTCAAGCGCGTTTTAATTGCTCAATCTTGCTTGAATAGGGGTCCTGAACCGTTGGATCTCTGCGCAGCCGTCGTGGGAAACCATCGAGCAATTTCTAGCTGTGATTTTCGATGGAAATGATCTAACTCTCATTGATGTGACAACGGGCAGTTTGGTGAGTTGTAATTATTATCTTGACTGCGTGGAACAACAATGCACGGGTGTAGTGTTGGCTGCTATGCCAAAAATGTCTGCCATATACGAATCCTTGAATTTTGTTGAAAACAGTAATCGGATATTTCCTTTTTCAATTGCATCCGTTCTGCTGTTCACAAAGCTCCGGCCTTACTTTCTGGGATTAATTCAAATCGATCTGTTGCGAAAAAGCTTCCGAGTCCGAACCCCGATGAAAACGTGGTTAAATTTCCCGTTGTTTTTGCCGACTGTGGGTCGACAGCCGACATGACAGATGATAAATCTTAAGCTTTGGAGCCTCTCGATTTTCTTTGAACTTTTGAAGAGGCAGATCTTTAATAGCGCACTGCCAGCTAGGCTATAATATTACATGTAGTCACGGACTGTGCTAACCGAGTGCTGAAATACCAGGCGTTAAATGTTTTCGAATGCGGTTTTGTGAATCAAAGATCAAATGTTTAACTTAGTGAGGTTGGAATCTGCGATTTCAGGTTTGTACGTGGCTGTTTTTGTTTTGTTTGTCATCTGCAATTTACGCACAGCGCCCTGTGTAATAACAGACAAGATTTAGAAATGAATATTCGGAAGGTTTCTTGTTCTTTAAAATGCGACGTGTCGAGGGCCGCGTGCTCGTATCTTTTCCTGTCTTTTGGCGAAAACCACAACAAATATTGCAATTACAATACTTTTCATTTTCTGCCGAGCGACGAAATCGAAACTTTCGATCGATAGAAAGGGAAACTCCAAATCAGTTTGCCTTGAGGGCCGTCTGAACATTTTGCTCACAATATGCAAATATGTTTAACACGGGTTGAATTAGGGTACTAATGTTTTGGTTTTTAATAAAGGGATAAGATCATTTCTGAACATTGTCCGAGGCCGAAAGGCGGCGAGGTACAGCGGAGACGAAAATGGCCGAAATATTTTTTGTTTCCTCTCTTTCTTTATTAAGGAATTTAGCCTCACGTCACTATGATATCGCTCAATTGTATTTACATTCGCGCTGCTGTTTTCTGATTCTGTCGCAGTGGGTGTTTATTCATAAAGCGGGCGACTTTATAAAACAGAAACGGAAACGATAAAATGTTAAGCAGCTGTTATATAGCTGACTTGTTCGTGGGAGAATGCAGAGCGCGTGTTGAGGAACAGATTCGCAAAGTTAACGTAAATTGGATCGAGAACGAAAACTGATAACTGTCAGTTATTTTGCTCCTTGACATATTAGGTCGATCATTTTACCTACTGTTTTAACATCTTTTGTCCACGATCAATTCCTCAGTATCTTAATGTTTTTTCGAGTGGGTTTAATTTCAAGCGCATTTTCCAGCCAGGATATTGTTATAATCGAGCCCTTATCACCTGGTGTTGAATTAAGAGTAGCGTTTACTCCCCAGATATGACATTTGTCGCCCGATTTGTCGCCCTCGAAGTACACTTGTGTATGCTTCATGAAACGTATTTATAAGACAACGAAATAAGTCCCCTGTTTAATCTTGCTTCTCTTTGTCATTAGCTCGTTTGTTTTGGCTTGTTTTCGAGACTGAATTTGTTTTGCAAAACAGCTCCATTTATTCACACCCTACCATCACTCTCGCAGTAACGGGTCAATTAGTGAAGGGTTACTTAGCCTCTGAAAGAGATTTGCGAGCGTGTTTTGATAGCTGACTTATTTACGGAACAAAATATTGGTACAGAGCCGTTAATTTACTTTAGCTGTATTTTTATTCGCCCGCAGTTTATTGCATGCTGTCCTTACATCAATATCGTGGCAACAAACACGCTCACGTAAGACCCCGGAAAGACGATGGTTTTTTTTCCGGCGAAATTTTTAACGTGATGTCATCGAAGTATTTTCCTTTAGGACCAAAAGGTCAACAATAGAATTCACGGCTCCTAACAGACAGGTTTGCATTCTGTTTCTTCATTCTAGATGCATCAAAACGCAGCAGCTGCATCGAGATAAGGAATTACGAGATGCCTAAAAGAACAACATCAAGCGATCGAGAGAGGAAAACTTCCTCGCGATTATTTCGTTCCATGTCGCTGAGTGGACGAAAACAGTCCAGTAAAGAACAGTCAGCGAACGACGAGAAAAGGAATTCGACAATCTCTATTTCTGAAACTGAAAAGGTGACCATATTGATGGACCATAACGCTCAGCTCATGGACGAGAAAAACAGAGCTGTGGATGAGTGTGATAAAATGAACAAGGACCTCCAAGATGCGAACGATAAGTTGAAAGACGCCGAGCGAGAGATTGAAAACTTGAAAGAACTGTTGAGCACGCGGATTAAACAGGAATTCGATAATTGCGAGACAGATGGCAACGAGAAAAGAACGCGAATCTCTTTCAGTGATCTTGAGTTAGAACCCGTGCAATCGAAAGGCAATAAAGTAATTTTTCCCTCCAAAGTTGAACATCTTGAGACGACCATTGAAGCGAACGCCGTTCCGCTTCAAAAGACTACTTCATGTAAGGAGTGTGAACGTTTAAAGGAGTCGCGAATCAAAGCTTTTGTGGAGGCCATTGCGCTGAGGAAATACGTTAAGAACTTGAACGACGCACTGTCGGGCGGAGAGGCGAGCAAGCAAAACTTTTTGAACGATGTGCAGAAGAAACTCATTTCGGCACAAACGGAGAAGGAGGTAGCGTTAGAAGAACTTGCAACTGTTATTGATCAGCGGAATCAGGCAGTACAAGAAAAGGACAAAGCGCTCGAGGAATGGGGCAAAGCTACGAGTAAATGGGAAACCACTCTGGATCAATTAGATTCCCTTGTAAAAGAACTAAACAAGGTAAGATTTGTACCACGTGTGCACGCGCGTGGTACGCGCGTGTCAATACGCGCTTGCATAATGCATAATTGTCGCGCGACGTCGCTTACAGTGAAGTCCTTGTGAGCAAAGGAAGCTGTTTCCTCTGTAGAAGGGTGTTCGCTGCGAACAAGGTCACTGTGCGGTAGCCTGCTATATAAAGTTAAAAAAAACAATTCCAAAGTGTTGGGTTCATGTAAGAGTTAATTATTTGCTTGTTTTATTATTTTGTTTAGTTTTCATACCTTGTTAGTAAATCACGTTGTTCAACATGAAATTAATTATCAAATTAACCGGAATCAATCTGTTTTACCAAAACAATTTTTTTAGTCCCATGAATTCTTCTCTCATCATTGTGTGTTATCTAAACCAATCGTTACAAAACCAGTTGAAAACGGAATATTGAAAAATGTCTTCTTTTTGATAGACGAAAATTCTTAGCATGTACTTTACATAGATACCTTGTGCAAAATTAAGGGTGCAATATCTTCTCTATTGTGCTAGCCCTTAGGAAGTAAAATAGAATCAGGTCAAGCCCTTTAATACGTGATTCTATTTTAATTCTTGACCTGGTCACAACGATTGCGCAATGATTGAATTCAAGACACTTCAAGTGTCTTGGATTCAGTCATGGTATTTTAACCTAAGCACAAAACCACTTTTTCAATTGAAGGACACTGACCTGAAAATAGTTGTTCACCTAGATAAAAAACACCAAACAGATAATGATACACCATAAAGGACTAAGGATGGTTAAGGATAAAGAAGATTAAAACGGATTACAAACGACGAACTGGAAAAATTTAGGCAGGCTAGACTTTTCAAGATGCGCCAACCGGACGTGGTTCCTTTAATTTACTGTGACCAGACAATGAAGTTCAAACATCGCTATAATTTCCTTTGATCACTCTGTCGGTCAGGGAGTAATAATGTGTGTGCTATCAGATATAGACAGTTCCATGTACCAGGCTGGTGGATATTGATTTAATCTATTAAATAAAATGTCTTTTTCCTTAGAACTTCTACAAATACGTCTTTACGAGACCGGTACTGCAATTCAGTTTTGACACATTGTTTATAGTTCATTTATCGAAAAAAAAAAATGTTTCAGCGAAATAACAATGACAATACTTGGCAGTCGCGAACGTTAATTTTTCTGCTTAATCATTCCAATAGGAATGTTTGTTTCATAATATTTAATATTTAAACTTCAATCTCGGTGACTCGAAACATTAATTCAGCATTTATCTTAATTTACTTTATATGATCTCAAATGGATGTCATGACTAACACCGCAAGAATGCAAAGCATTGCTAATGAGAAATGAACTCCATAATAGCTGACTTAAAGAGTCCCACTAAAAGACCAATTAGTCCACGTACTCAATTATCAGCGTTATTATCCAACACTATTGTTCCATATTCCTTTGTGTTTGGCGCCTTTGTTAAGTGTACTGTCTAAGAGCTATGCCCCATGATTGTTAAACGCATTTGGAGCTTTATAGAGGTTCTGATATTTGGCTTCGACAAGAAACCGCCAGCATTGCCTTAACCGTGCAGCACTTATCTAAAAATCCCAGTAATCCTGCGGGTTATACGTTGTATATTGCTCAGCAACGTTTTGGGTTTTTAAGGACGTTTCAATTCACGGAGAAAGGCAAAGCTTCTTATCAGTCAATTCATGACTACTTTTATGCGTTTATTATAATTTAAAAGGACGGGCAACTAGAAATGTATTTCCAGAGATGTGAAGATAAGGTCGAAATTGATAGTATCACTTTTAAGTGTCGGCTTGCTACTTGGTTGAATATTGCGGTAACGGGAGTAGTTTTAATGGCTAGATAAATATAGTTGCTGTTACATACAATATCAAAGCGATTAAGGCTGGCGAGGTAGCAAAATTCGGCCAGGGTTGGCTGTGCAAACCATTTTTAATGTCGCTCCTACGTGTGCTGAAAGCTTGCCTTTAACTATTTTTATTTAATATTATTTCTGCGAAGAACCATAGCTAATCACTCGCGCTTTTATTATTTCACTTGACATTGCTCTGCAAGGGAGGATTACATTATGTGGTTTTATCAATACGATTTACGTGACTAGAATAGAAGCTTGCCTTTTATATCATAAATCAATCATGATTGCTTCCGGTTATCACGTTCCAGTCTGTTAACACTGCTCCTTCTGCAAATTAGTAGTCATTTATCTATCTTCCCTCCATTCCCCTCTCCTTTTCCCTTTTCCTTCCTTCCACCCTCCCTCCCTTCTGCCAGCCTTCCTCCATGGAAGCCAGTCAGTCAGCCAGTCAGTCAGTCAGTCATTCAGTCAGTTAGTCAGTCAGACACTCAGTCACTCAGTCACTCACTCAGTCTGTCACTCTATCACTCTGTCACTCTATCACTCTGTCACTCTGTCACTCAGTCACAAAGACTGTTTGTCAGCCCTTCATTCCGCCTTCATTTTGGTCTGCAGGTAAAATCAGAGCGCGATGATTTAAACAAGAAACTAAAGCGTAAAGAAGATGCCTTAGAGAGAATACAACAAGAGACATCATTGTTAAGTGAACAGGTTGAAGTAACGAAACAGGACGAAGATGATTCTATGGTAGAACAAGATGCTATTTTAAGAGACAGATTTGGAAATGCAGATTCTGTTCGGAGATTAAGCACAGAACTTACTAAGTCACAACAAAGAAACATTGAAATGGACGCCCGAGTGACATCACTGGAAGAGAAATCAGAGACTTATAAGAGAGAAAGAGACCATGCTAAAGAACAGTGGAGACAATCAGTGAAAGAAAGGAAAAGACTACATCGCGAGATTGCCAGCATTGTTCAAGCTAGGGACGAAGCAATACAGAAATGCTTTTCTACGGCAGAACAATTAGAGAAGTTGAAAGAGGAATATAATCACTTGTTGAACCGGTTGGCAAAAACCGGTTTGAGTGCAAATAACTCCAGTGAACTGTCTATTCCGTGCTCGCTCAAGGAATGCAAGTTTTGTGCGGGTGATTCAGCTGAAGGCCTAGAGGTAAGTTTCTAACGGATGCCTACGAGGATGCTAAAGTTAAAACGTTTCGATAACAATGAAAGAGCTCTCCCACGAGAGTCGAAGTTCAAATTTAGGATGTCAAATTTGATTTTCCAAAATTTTTATAAACCTACCAGTACCATGAGAGCTCCATGAGAGCTTAAGCTTTATTCATAAACGTAAATAAAACGATATGCATATCATGTTAAACACACGAAAGCTATGCTCCATAGTTCTCATTTGAATGGTCACATACCCAGTAGTTAGGTTTCAACCACAGACTTAAAAGTTAAATCTACATTGTANCTCGAGGAACATCAGGTAATTGATTGGTTGTGGTTTGTCTGGTTTGCTTAGTAGACTGATTAAATGATTGATTTATTGATTGATCAACTGACTGACTGACTGACTAACCGACTTATAAGATTGGTTGACTGATTGATTGATTGTCTGATTCGTTATTTTGTTGCTCGTTATTCTGACCTATAGGTTTGGTGGTAGTTGGTTGGTTGATTTATCAGTAACTGATTGTTCGATTAATTCATTTATTGACTAATCGATTGATTCATTGACTGATTGATTGATTGATTGATTGATTGATCGATCGATCGATCAACTGGCTGACTGACTGGCTGACTGACTGGCTGACTGACTGGCTGATATCGAGTGATTGATTGATTGATCGACTGACTGGCTGACTGTCTGACTCACTGGCTGATTGATTGAGTGACCGAGTGATTGATTGATTGATCGACTGACTGATCGATTGACTGATTCATTGATTAAGTGATTGATCGATTTAATGACCTACTGATTGATGTACTTTCTAACTGACCACTGACTGATATTTTTTCAATGAGCTTTTGAGCTTTAAAGTTGAACGTGATTTGTGACCATGAAATATCCAGTTTGAAAAACATGAGATGTGAAAATATCGGAACATTTTTTTCAAATTGACTAATGATTATTGTATCTTTTGTTCTCAAGAAAATATGACGAGATTGTGTCCATCAACGATATCCCAGTAACTGAGTCAGACCAAAACCTCGTGAAATCCTTGCTGGATGGAGCTGTTTCCACTCTCACTATGGTAAGACTGGAATTAGCCAGGGAGAATTAGCATTTGAAAGGTATATTTAGATCTATTATCTTATCTTTGTAAACAGCATGTTCATACTGTTAATTTATTTTCAGGTTCTCAAGCGGCCTGTAGGTACTTATCAGATAAGTTTTGACTTGGATCTCAAAGCTCCCAAGAAATCAAAAGCTGGTAAGAATAAAAGGAATTCTGCGCAGAAGTTTCAACCATATATCGATATGTGTAGATACAATTGTTCCCGGCTGATGATAGTGGCATCATTTTGTTCAATAGTTTTCACTTATACTGTACGCTGGTAATGAGGCTTGAGTCTTTTTGCGCAATTTTATGTAAACTATCTTTTTACCTCTGCAGGGCTTGGTTTTGAGTGTGGATTGTATGTAAAAAATCTGAAGCATGGATTTATTTCTGAGGATCAGAACAACCTGAAAGTTGGAGATTACGTTATGAAGGTACATAATCAGATATGAAATTACTGTGACTGCAAACCGCTTAAGCTCGTGATTGGTCAATAACTATAGGCGATTCAATTTTTCCGATTTACTGTAGGGTAATTTCAGTTATTTTCACGGAAACAGTAAGGCACGTGTTTGTGTGGGTGTAGGTCTAGTAAAGGCTACAGATATCGACGTCACTGTTTTAATCATGATGGAGAGAAAATAAAACGTCATGATCGTGGGTGTGATTCAGAAAAACTGTGGCGACTCGGTCCAACAGGATAAATTCTAGAATAATACTTCAAAGCTCACAACAGTGAGATGCAGCCAAGAAAAACGTGGTAGAAACCAGCAAAACGTTTCTGCCAGCCACGGAGAAACGTGAAACTCAAACGCAAAGAAAATTCTAGTCGCTACAGTGGGTTTACTCTCGTGAATCGTCGCGCGATAAGACACGCGGGATTATGATGCTGGGAAGACGCTCAAGAATCCTGCAAATTCACGTACGGGCATACTGTTATCATCACGAGCTCAGCAAAACAAGAAAACGGTATTGCGGAAATATTACTATGGAAAAAAAGCTTTCTGCGTTTAGACGTGTTAGAAACATGTTCGAAACTGAGCAACAATGTTTCTTTAATGTTTCAGAAGCCTTCTCTAACTATGAGAAGAAAGATCTGCATCAAACCCGTGAAATATTTTCCGCAACTGAATAGCCAGGGCAACATTTTCCCGCTGCAAACAAACCCTTAAAACTCTTATTCATATCGTTACACTTGAAATAAACCTCTTCGTATTTACGTTCTTTAAAGGAGCTCAGTGACGTTATTTTGACCACGTACAAAATTACCTTTAAACTGAAGGAAACCTGAAAATAGTAGTTTACTAATATAGAAAAACACCAAAGATATAGTGATAAACCATAAAGGAACAAGGATGGTTAAGGATGGAGAAGATTAACACGGATTACAAACGACGAACTTGAAAAATTTAGGCTAAACTTTTCAAGATGCGCAAACCGTAACGTAGCCCCTTTAATCATTTCGCGTGGTATATTGCGTGAGTAAGTTGTTTACTCACAAGCGCGATTCACGTTATCCCTAGTCTTGATGGTGTTGCTCTGTTTTTGATATAGATCAATGGGAAACATCTTGATAAAATCATCGGTTCTTCAGTGGATAAAGTCACCAAAAAGTCTGGCGACAAACTGAAACTTCACGTGACAAGAACGATCCTGGCCATGCCGAAAAACTGCGAGTTAAAGGTAGGTGTACCGTGCTGTCTGTCTATTGTACATGGCGAATGAATTGACTAACAGTGGACCGAGCTTGAAGCAAGACTAATCCTGTTTGGTTATTCTTTTCTGCCGTTTGAAACTGAACATGCAGTCGATTGGATCCTTTGGGCACCGAACTTGGGAATTGAAATTTCAAAAATCGATAAACCTTTTTGTAGCTTTCCTTCAACAGAACACTCAAAAGTTGGCAGAGGTCTCGGTTTTAAGATCTTCTCTCACATGGTGGTAAATTAATTCTGATATCTCCACCTTACTGCTCTCACTCGTTTCTGATATGCACACATCAGTTTCTCCATCTAAAGGTTAATCTTGCTCTGGGTTCCTCAGTTACAGCATCGTCGCAAAATTTCCTGATTCATTGTTAATTTGTATTTATTGTCGTTTTTTTTTATGTAGCCTGTCAGCATCACGGACTCCGAATCCGACACTGTCGTACTGAGACAACTTCCTCGCTGCAACGGAGACAACCGCCTGTCACTCATATCGAATGACAGCTCAATGTCACGTGATTCAAGATTTTCTTGTAACTCAAGCATGGGCTCGATGAGCTCTAACAATGACTCGTCTCTCGCCGACTCGAACTCGGATCTTTACGGAAACAAATTCTCCGGGTATGGACTGCACATGGCCGACAGACATCGCACGGCCACAGCTGTCTACAGTCCCTCTTCTGACTCTCAACTAGAGACCATTGTGGCAGACGATTGGCCGGACGCGAGGACGGAGAACGGTTCTCAGGATATATCGGACGCTAAAGAGAGCGATTCTTGCGATCACNAAAAAAAAAATGTTTCAGCGAAATAACAATGACAATACTTGGCAGTCGCGAACGTTAATTTTTCTGCTTAATCATTCCAATAGGAATGTTTGTTTCATAATATTTAATATTTAAACTTCAATCTCGGTGACTCGAAACATTAATTCAGCATTTATCTTAATTTACTTTATATGATCTCAAATGGATGTCATGACTAACACCGCAAGAATGCAAAGCATTGCTAATGAGAAATGAACTCCATAATAGCTGACTTAAAGAGTCCCACTAAAAGACCAATTAGTCCACGTACTCAATTATCAGCGTTATTATCCAACACTATTGTTCCATATTCCTTTGTGTTTGGCGCCTTTGTTAAGTGTACTGTCTAAGAGCTATGCCCCATGATTGTTAAACGCATTTGGAGCTTTATAGAGGTTCTGATATTTGGCTTCGACAAGAAACCGCCAGCATTGCCTTAACCGTGCAGCACTTATCTAAAAATCCCAGTAATCCTGCGGGTTATACGTTGTATATTGCTCAGCAACGTTTTGGGTTTTTAAGGACGTTTCAATTCACGGAGAAAGGCAAAGCTTCTTATCAGTCAATTCATGACTACTTTTATGCGTTTATTATAATTTAAAAGGACGGGCAACTAGAAATGTATTTCCAGAGATGTGAAGATAAGGTCGAAATTGATAGTATCACTTTTAAGTGTCGGCTTGCTACTTGGTTGAATATTGCGGTAACGGGAGTAGTTTTAATGGCTAGATAAATATAGTTGCTGTTACATACAATATCAAAGCGATTAAGGCTGGCGAGGTAGCAAAATTCGGCCAGGGTTGGCTGTGCAAACCATTTTTAATGTCGCTCCTACGTGTGCTGAAAGCTTGCCTTTAACTATTTTTATTTAATATTATTTCTGCGAAGAACCATAGCTAATCACTCGCGCTTTTATTATTTCACTTGACATTGCTCTGCAAGGGAGGATTACATTATGTGGTTTTATCAATACGATTTACGTGACTAGAATAGAAGCTTGCCTTTTATATCATAAATCAATCATGATTGCTTCCGGTTATCACGTTCCAGTCTGTTAACACTGCTCCTTCTGCAAATTAGTAGTCATTTATCTATCTTCCCTCCATTCCCCTCTCCTTTTCCCTTTTCCTTCCTTCCACCCTCCCTCCCTTCTGCCAGCCTTCCTCCATGGAAGCCAGTCAGTCAGCCAGTCAGTCAGTCAGTCATTCAGTCAGTTAGTCAGTCAGACACTCAGTCACTCAGTCACTCACTCAGTCTGTCACTCTATCACTCTGTCACTCTATCACTCTGTCACTCTGTCACTCAGTCACAAAGACTGTTTGTCAGCCCTTCATTCCGCCTTCATTTTGGTCTGCAGGTAAAATCAGAGCGCGATGATTTAAACAAGAAACTAAAGCGTAAAGAAGATGCCTTAGAGAGAATACAACAAGAGACATCATTGTTAAGTGAACAGGTTGAAGTAACGAAACAGGACGAAGATGATTCTATGGTAGAACAAGATGCTATTTTAAGAGACAGATTTGGAAATGCAGATTCTGTTCGGAGATTAAGCACAGAACTTACTAAGTCACAACAAAGAAACATTGAAATGGACGCCCGAGTGACATCACTGGAAGAGAAATCAGAGACTTATAAGAGAGAAAGAGACCATGCTAAAGAACAGTGGAGACAATCAGTGAAAGAAAGGAAAAGACTACATCGCGAGATTGCCAGTATTGTTCAAGCTAGGGACGAAGCAATACAGAAATGTTTTTCTACGGCAGAACAATTAGAGAAGTTGAAAGAGGAGTATAATCACTTGTTGAACCGGTTGGCAAAAACTGGTTTGAGTACAAATAACTCCAGTGAACTGTCTATTCCGTGCTCGCTCAAGGAATGCAAGTTTTGCGCGGGTGATTCAGCTGAAGGCCTAGAGGTAAGTTTCTAACGGGCATACCTACAAGGACGCTAAAGTTAAAACGTTTCGATAACAATGACAGAGCTCTCCCACGAGAGTCGAAGTTCAAATTTAAGATCTCAAATTTGATTTTAAAGTTAGAACCACTTTATACAGCATAATAAACAGTAACACACGGAAGTGCTTCTCAATTGCTTTCATTTGAAAGGTCACACACTAGGATTCCATCCATAGACTTAAAAGTTAGCACCACCTTGCACAGCATATAGTAAGCAGTATCACATGAGCGTACAGCTTAGTGGCTTACTCCTGAATGTTCACACATTAGGATTTTGTCCTCAGAACGTTAGAAGTTTTACTCTGGAGGTGAAAGGGCTGTAAACAAAATAATTTATTTCATGATAATTTCTAATTTGTTGTCACACGTTTAGTCTCCAGACACATCATTCACGGAAAGTGAAGAGATCCGAGTGACTTTAGAAAAGGTATGTTCATAGTGATAATAGACAGTGATAACGTTTTGTTATTACAGGTGTCGAAATTCGCCACGAAAGATGCGGTGATTATGATGTTAACAAATATCATGACGGGAGCGTAATGATTTGAAGAGAGTGATGTGTTGATCACCAGAAACCAGAAGGAAGACCAGGGCAGCCTCAATTGCAGCACCATCCTCCTTCGTCTGCGTTATTTGCAACAGAGACTGCCACTTCAGAGTGGGACTCTATAGCCACTCGAGACGATGCTCCGCATCGACATAGCGCTACACCATCGTCTTCCGAGACGAACGGCTGCCGACGATGTGTTGATGATGATGATGACGAAAAAAACAATCACGAATGAAGATGATAATGATTTTGACGTTGACGAAAATTTGACACATTGAAACATTGCTATCTTGCTATCTAGCTTCACGCTAATTGCCCACTCTGATAGTTTACTTTACGTTGAACCACTTTACGTTTTACGTGAATGTTTAACAATTTTTTGCAGGATGATCCACTTGACTCTATCAAGTTGGCCAGAGTTTCTCTGAGTGGCAGGCCGTATACTGCCATCATAGATATTGACAAGGCTTTTGGTAACTCGAGGAACATCAGGTAATTGATTGGTTGTGGTTTGTCTGGTTTGCTTAGTAGATTGATTAAATGATTGATTTATTGATTGATCAACTGACTGACTGACTGACTAATCGACTTATAAGATTGGTTGACTGATTGATTGATTGTCTGATTCGTTATTTTGTTGCTCTTTATTCTGACCTATAGGTTTGGTGGTAGTTGGTTGGTTGATTTATTGAGTAACTGATTGTTCGATTAATTCATTTATTGACTAATCGATTGATTGATTGACTGAGTGATTGATTGATTGATTGATTGATCGATCGATCGATCAACTGACTGGCTGACTGGCTGACTGGCTGAGTGACTGGCTGAGTGACTGGCTGAGTGACTGGCTGATTGACTGACTGATTGATTGATTGATCGAGTGATTGAATGATTGATCGACTGACTGGCTGACTGGCTGACTGGCTGACTGGCTGACTGGCTGACTGTCTGACTGTCTGACTGTCTGACTGTCTGACTGACTAGCTGATTGATTGATTGACCGAGTGATTGATTGACTGATCGACTGACTGATCGATTGACTGATTCATTGATTAAGTGATTGATCGATTTAATGACTGACTGACTGATTGACTTTCTAACTGACCACTGACTGATATTTTTTCAATGAGATTTTTGAGCTTTAAAGTTGAACGTTATTTGTGCACATGAAATATCCAGTTTGAAAAACATGAGATGTGAAAATATCAGAACATTTTTTTTCAAATTGACTAATGATTATTGTATCTTTTGTTCTCAAGAAAATATGACGAGATTGTGTCCATCAACGATATCCCAGTAACTGAGTCAGACCAAAACCTCGTGAAATCCTTGCTGGATGGAGCTGTTTCCACTCTCACTATGGTAAGACTGGAATTAGCCAGGGAGAATTAGCATTTGAAAGGTATATTTAGATCTATTATCTTATCTTTGTAAACAGCATGTTCATACTGTTAATTTATTTTCAGGTTCTCAAGCGGCCTGTAGGTACTTATCAGATAAGTTTTGACTTGGATCTCAAAGCTCCCAAGAAATCAAAAGCTGGTAAGAATAAAAGGAATTCTGCGCAGAAGTTTCAACCATATATCGATATGTGTAGATACAATTGTTCCCGGCTGATGAGGGTGGCATCATTTTGTTTAATAGTTTTCACTTATGCTGTACGCTGGCAATGATGCTTAAGTTCTCTTGCGCAGTTTTATGTAACCTATCTGTTTACTTTTGCAGGTCTTGGTTTTGAGTGTGGATTGTATGTAAAAAATCTGAAGCATGGATTTATTTCCGAGGACCAGAACAACCTGAAAGTTGGAGATTACGTTATGAAGGTACATAATAAGTCTGTGACTGCAAGCCTCTTGAGCTTGTGATTGGTCAATAACTAGAGGCTATTCAATTGTTCCGATTTACTGCAAGGTAATTGCAACCATTTTCATGAAAGCAAGAAGGCACGTGTTTGCGTGGGATTACTCGCGTGAATCGTCGCGCGATAACACACACGGGGTGTACGATGGCGGGGGGACGCGCAAGAATCCTGCAAATCAAGGGCTCAGCAAAACGACAAAAAACGGTATTGCGGAAATATTCCTGTGAAACAAATGTTTTCTGCGTTTAGACGAGTAGGAAACATGTTTCGAAACTGAGGAAAAATGTTTCGTTAATGTTTCAGAAGCCTTCCCTAACTATGAGAAGAAAGATCTGCATCAAACGCGTGAAATATCTTCCGCGACTGAATAGCCAGGGCAACATTTTTCCGCTGCAAACAAACCCTTAAAACTCTTATTCGTATCGTTACACTTGAAATAAACCTCTTCGTATTTACGTTCTTTAAAGGAGCTCAGTCACGTTATTTTGACCACGTACAAAATTACCTTTAACTGAAGGAAACCTGAAAATAGTAGTTTACTAATATAGAAAAACACCAAAGATATAATGATAAACCGTAAAGGAACAAGGATGGTTAAGGATGGAGAAGATTAACACGGATTACCAACGACGAACTTGAAAAATTTAGGCTAAGCTTTTCAAGATGCGCAAACTCTAAGGTAGTTGTTTACTCACAAACGCTGTTCACGTTATCCCTAGTCTTGATGGTCTTGCTCTGTTTTTAATATAGATCAATGGGAAACATCTTGATAAAATAATCGGTTCGTCGGTGGATAAAGTCACCAAAAAGTCTGGCGACAAACTGAAACTTCACGTGACAAGAACGATCCTGGCCATGCCGAAAAACTGCGAGTTAAAGGTAGGTGTACCGTGCTGTCTGTCTATTGTACATGGCGAATGAATTGACTAACAGTGGACCGAGCTTGAAGCAAGACTAATCCTGTTTGGTTATTCTTTTCTGCCGTTTGAAACTGAACATGCAGTCGATTGGATCCTTTGGGCACCGAACTTGGGAATTGAAATTTCAAAAATCGATAAACCTTTTTGTAGCTTTCCTTCAACAGAACACTCAAAAGTTGGCAGAGGTCTCGGTTTTAAGATCTTCTCTCACATGGTGGTAAATTAATTCTGATATCTCCACCTTACTGCTCTCACTCGTTTCTGATATGCACACATCAGTTTCTCCATCTAAAGGTTAATCTTGCTCTGGGTTCCTCAGTTACAGCATCGTCGCAAAATTTCCTGATTCATTGTTAATTTGTATTTATTGTCGTTTTTTTTTATGTAGCCTGTCAGCATCACGGACTCCGAATCCGACACTGTCGTACTGAGACAACTTCCTCGCTGCAACGGAGACAACCGCCTGTCACTCATATCGAATGACAGCTCAATGTCACGTGATTCAAGATTTTCTTGTAACTCAAGCATGGGCTCGATGAGCTCTAACAATGACTCGTCTCTCGCCGACTCGAACTCGGATCTTTACGGAAACAAATTCTCCGGGTATGGACTGCACATGGCCGACAGACATCGCACGGCCACAGCTGTCTACAGTCCCTCTTCTGACTCTCAACTAGAGACCATTGTGGCAGACGATTGGCCGGACGCGAGGACGGAGAACGGTTCTCAGGATATATCGGACGCTAAAGAGAGCGATTCTTGCGATCACGGCACCTTAAAACCGAACACTCGCTCGCCCATGAACCGAAAATTCGTCAGCACCTCGCAATTGCAGTCGGGAACGTTTCTGACGCCTGCAAGTGTCGACGGAACTTTGGTTCGAACCCAGTCTACCATCACTGCTGTTCGAGTGGACGATGATGGATTGAACTCAGGCTTATTAAGGTCTCAGCCTACGTGTGGAACAGTAATGCCCTCTGGGAAGAGGTGAGTAGAGTCTCGAACCCCAGGGACAGGGGGTGCCATTTGTAACTAGGTTAAACGAGTTAAACCTTAATAAAGCCGGGGTTTTACCAAGAAATATTTCTTGAGACTTGTCTCAAAAATTTGTCGCGAACGTCTGGCAACGTCTTCGTTGCACCTTGGATTGCAAGCGGGCAGTGAGGTCGCGACACAGGCTGTTCAAAACATTTCCATGTGCAACAACTCCTTGAATAAACAAATTTGAAAAACACTGATCATTGCAAGAATGCTAGAATCCTGAACAAGTTATTGCTTACTTTCAAGTCCGTAAAACTCAACAAGTAACATTCATAAACAAAACAAGTTAAACCAGTTTAACCCTTAGTATGCATGGGATACACTCAGTTATGTTCTGCCCTGCATCTCCATCCCCAGTCCTCGAGTGATGCGCCTCGAAAAGAAGCCGTTGGATGGCCTGGGTCTGGAAGTTTCCGGCGGTTACCGCGTCGGCATCTACGTCATCGAGCTGCAGGATAACTCAGTTTGTAAAGCCGCTGGCCTGCAAGTTGGGGACAGGCTCCTGAAGGTGAGAGATTTAGAGTAATGCTATAACTTAATTTAAACACAGTCTAAATGGGGGTTTAATTGATAACTAAGAGCTGGTCAAAATTTTAACTGCCAGCTTACAAATGTTGCGCTCCTTAACTGACAGCTGAAAATTGGGCTAAAATTTTAAATGATAGCGGAGAAATCGTCGAAACTTTAAAAGAGCCTAGTCACGGTTTGCACATCTTGAAAAAAATTAGCCTAGATTTTTCAAGTTCGTCGTCTCTGATCCGTGTTAATCTTTTCCATCCTTAACCATCCTTGTTCTTTTATGGTTTATTATTATCTCTTTGGTGTTTTTCTATCTTAGTAAACGACTATTTTTTGGTTTCCTTCAACGTAAAGCAAATTTTGTACGAGGTCAAAATGACTCAAAACTACCGTGACTGAGCTCCTTTTAATAACCGAAACTTAAACTGAGGGTTGAAAATCCAGTACCACCATCCTGACGTTCTTAAAAAGATCTCGATGCTGTTTCATTTTGTTAGCTCTAAAAAAAAACATTCTTCTTAGTTTGTTTTTCGCTGTGTTTCTTTGTGTTTGCGCCGCTGTTTCACGGAAATCTTTTTTCTTTGATCACTTTTCTGATCACGTATTTGATTATTTACCTTCAGCTTAACAGTTATGACCTGACTAGGGCGACCCTGGACCACGCTACGAGGATTGTTCGGCTTCTAAGCACGTGTACATATCTTAGAATTGAGGCCCAGCTAGTATCAAGTAAGTTTCAAGTTGCATTTCTTTTTACATGTATTCCTGATGTGTGTTGGTTAAAGGCCTAGCGGCCTGATGGTTAATGTGTTGGACGCCAGATTGAAAGGCCTGGGCTTAGATCTGGTCTGGGTAATTGTGCTGTGCTCTCAGGAAAGATACCTCATGTTCGGTGCCTCTCTTCAGCTCGGTTTATATAAAGGTGCTGGTAGGCTGTCGCAGCGGCTACCTGTCAAAATTTTAGGAGTAGCCTGCGATGGAGTGCTATCCCGTCCGAGGGGATTTACGTAGGGTGACCAGTCACTTGGCTTCTTAGAATGGGAACAGTCAAAAAGCTGATCAGATGTCTCAAATAACTCTTTTTAATTCGTTAGATTATCAAGAAATCCTTGAAGACAAACCTTACGATTCACTTTATGTCAGGTGAGTTATTGCTGGACATCAAGAAATTATAAAGAATTATTAATTATTAAGAATTAAAGAGTTTATGTGCACATATTAACGTGTGAGACCATTCATTTTAGAGAGTGTTTTACTAGGCAGGAAGAAAATTGTAAGACAAGTTGAACAAATCATTCCTTATATTTGAAGTGTTCGTTAGGCTGACATATTGTTTCCTCCCCAGGACTATCCATCCATATAAGGCCATGGCACCGGATGAGCTAAGCTTCACTGTTGGAGAAACATTGCACGTAATCAACACGCGCGCAAACTATGATCAGGCGAGACAGAGCTGGAAGTGGGTGGCTCAGCGTGCGAGGAAAGATGGGAAGGTTCTAGAGGAAGGACTGGTACCTTGTATGGGGAGGTAAGTAAAACATTGAATTTAAATTTGGTTATTTGTTTCTTCCATGGAATGGTTAAAGCCCCGTCCACACTACCCCGGAGAGATTTGAAAACGGAGGTTACGCTCTGAAAACAAATCAAATCTTTTCCTTCCACACTACGCCGGAGAAATTTGAAAACGCAGCAATAATCGCCGGTCATTTTGGATTTGTGTTTGAGGAAAACTCGGGCAGCGAAATCAATTGATTATCGTAACGTCATCGTTTTCGAAAAGCTCTGTTTTTAAAATATTTTCTGTCCAATCTAAAACGCAAAGGCGGCGTTTTCAAATTCCTCCGGTTTGAAGAGCGTTTTCGAAAAGCCCTACAGTTTTTGGTCCGGATTAGTGTGGACGATAAACCTAACCGAAGAAGTAAAGCTGCGTTTTCAAATTCCTCTGGCGTTATGTGGACGGGGCCTAAGAAGTGTTCCAAGACTTGTTACGAACATGTACAGCTATTGTACTGCATTTAAGGAGAAGTCCATTGTTGAGCTACCAGTTAAAGTCATTTACCAGGTTCTAACTTTATCTATCCCTCACAGTATTCCAGAACATGTGGAGTCCGCGGTACTATCCCAAACCCTTCAACGGTTTGAGTCAGAATCAGAGGAACAGATGAGCGACGACGCGCCAAGCACGCTGAAGAGAACGTCAACAGAACGACGCAGCATCATACAGAGATACCGCAAACTTATGAGACGCGAGAGCAGGGACTTTCCCAACAACACGGACGAAAATGGTGAGAATTCGCTCATACGTCTTGGCAGAAAGAATGGAAGATGTTTTGAACAGAAACGGCTAACGTAATTACATCCTTGTTTCCACCCAATTCAGACCACGCGATGATTCGTTTGGGAGGTTGCAATTGTGCAAGTTCGTACACGTGCAAACATAACATTTGTATCCTCCCAAACGAATCATCGCTTGATCTTCATTAGGTTGCAACAAGGATGTAAACACTTTAGCCGAATCCGTTCATTAGACCAATTATTAGCGCATGGACTCTGATTCGCGTAGTTTGGGTTCCCTAGCCTGCGTAGCTGGTGTTAACGGGATAAGGGTAGCCTCCTGTCCCCTGCCTTATCACTCCCCCATTCCTTTCGCGTTACGTGCGCTGCGCAGGCTAGAGTTGTTGCGCGCGTCGGGTTCATTTTGTTGTGGTCGTTCACCCAGGGGCATGAGTACCAGCGAACTATTAGAGTAATGTAACAAAATGGTGTTTGGGGTTTGGGAGAGGGGTTGGGAGGGGGGGGGGGGAAGTTACCGGCAATGGACAACCATCCCATTACTATCATGGTATATTTAACAAATTGACTTCAATGTTATGACCAAATTCATTGTCAATAACAGGACAGACGCATGAAAAACTGACATCAATTTGGTTTTTGCAATAACGAATTGTCAAATTGTCAAATTGTTCGCTCTCGCTCGTTGACGCATCGCATAAATTATAAATTCATGTGTGTTTCGCATATTGACAATGAAAATTAGCCAATGAGCGCGCGAGAATTTCTGCAGCTATCGTATAAACCACAATTGACTTAGTTTTTTCATAACTTTTTCTTGTGCAGGTAACTCGAACAAAGTGATGTTCTACGAAATACTGAGCAAGATTTCCGACTGATTTGTCCATGACGCTCGACAGACATTCGACTGATCACACCTCAGTGGGAGTGTAACCAGTGGGACAATCGATGATGATCCGGAATTCTTTGAGAATAATCGCGTTCCATCGTGCAATGTCGGTTTATGGTCGGTAGATATTCACGAATACCAAGTGCTCTTTCGTAAACGCGATAACGATCGACGAAATATGTAGCTACCTTAACATAATTGTGTTGAAGACTACATTTATAACTGCGTTAGCTATATTTTGCATGAGACGACTACTCGGGGGACTCTCATACGGACGGGGGTGCTGGTCGCAAATTTTGAAAAGCCCTAAGAGGTACCAAGATTCTGTTTTGTGGGCGCGGCTTGATATTGTTTTCCACCCGTAAGAGTTACCAATTCAAAAACAACACATTAACTGACACTTCCATAATTTTCAAAAGCGATAAAGACGATTGCTTCGAATACCTTCTACTCGTAAAGTTGATTGTCAGATATCTCCTGTCATATTTTATTCTGCACAATACCCTAAAAGGTACCGCGAAAGTTCCCCGCTGTGGACCTTTTGAGGCTGAACACCTCAACAGGTACCAAAACCACTTTTTTTTAACCCCTTAAAGATACGATGAGTACCCCCGTCCTTTTCATAAGGAGTCCCCCTTCCCGAGGACGTCCGGGATTAAAGTTAGTATACACAAAGGAAAACAGAACTGGTCAAAATCTTTCTGTCCATAAAAGATAGTTTTAATCCTGATAAGTTTTACCCGAATTTTAACTTAATCATTTTAAAAGGTATCTTAATTTTGACACCCAAAATGGTTACGTGGATGCTATCTGGGATTGTTGAAGTAGGTGCCTTTGGGGTAGTCAGGAAGGCATCATCTGAGATTGAAAATTGTATCGTATCGATATTTTTGTACTGCGCAAGTCTGACTCATATCACTCTGTTATATTTTAGGCCTTCGTAGGTGTCAGTTGTATTGAGAGCTCCGAGTAGCCTCATGTATAGAATTAATTCAAGTCATTGAACCTTCAGTTCGTTAGTGTGTCCACTTCACGAGAAATTAGCTTCCCATTTAAACAGATTATGTCTTTAGTACTGTAAAAGATGGACGTAGACGCACAAGGAGATTTTATTTGTTTCCAGTAGCTCTTCCGTGGTTAACTACGTTTAAAAAGTAAGAATGCAGCATTTACTGTTGCGATTGAAAAGCCATAAAGCCGCTGTACAAACGGATGCCAGTTAGGGAAGTGAATTGCTACGTTTCAAACTAATGTTACCCAATTTGGATTTTTGACTGGAGTGGAATACGTTTTCATTGATACTTTCAAGATCATTTACAGTGAAAAAGACAACTGCTGTTTTAAATAATTTAAGGAATGCTTTTAAAAGTAAGAGATTGTTCTCTTGCCTATCTCAGAAGAGGTACACTATCAAGAGGCGAATAAGGTACACAATTGGAGGGCAGTAGAAGCGCATAATAAGGGAAGGGGTGAAAACAACTATCCTAAAGAACTACCATTTTGCCTTATAGTTTACTAAATATGCATCGTGTAATATATCTCACAGACTTGGAAATTCTGGGACAATACCGTGGGCTGAAATCAAGAATAAACCGAAAACGCGGTAGTTCAAAAATAGCCGGCACCGTATTTTACCAAATTCAATGTGTTTTCGCTCAATTTCTTGATCGTTTTACGACTGCGGTCCACGGATTTCCAAGGATGAGCTAAAAAAAACTTTTAAATACAGAATGCCATAGCGCAGATATGTAACACGCGTTCTGCTCGCAGCTTAAATAATTAATATAAGAAATGATTAGATATTTTATACCCGTAAGGTGTCTTTTTCTAGAAACAGAAATAACAGATTTCCGGTACTTTTAACCTGTTCATGTTATGTAATGTTACTTCGCGTGGTTTTAGCAATTTATATAGAAAAGATACGTAATTTTATACTCTAGAGCTTTAATAACGAGTAGAAAACCTGTGACGGTTAGGTGTATCAAGGTATATTTTAAGGTTATGTTATTAAGATACGTGCTTGTTGAAGACCGCAAGGAGAAACATTTCCCAATGGAAGGATGGAAAATAGATGTTCATTTAGATTCTTCCTCGAAGGTGTAGCTGTTCATGTTAATATTGTAAAGAATAAAAAAGAAGAATATTTTGTAATTAAATACTCTGTGTGGTATGTTATATGGGAAATGCTACTGAAAAGTTTGATTTTCTATAATGAAAGGATTTTCAAGATATCAACATTGAACATTTTTTTCAACCAGGATGCATACTTCAAATAAACTCTCTACGCTTGCTAGTTAGAGCCATTTTAAAGCAAGACTGATGTTGGCTTCCTACTTCACTGGTTTGCTATCAGTGTCGCAATATGAAATCGTTTCCATATCAACCACGTATACTCTCTGTTAGCCTGTGCCAGGCTCTCGGTCAGTGAGGACGATTGAAAAAGTGGGCTTGTCGCCCGCCCGCTTTTTCGATCGTCCCCACTGACCGAGAGCCTGGAACAGGCTGCACTCCCACGATTGGTTCCATGTTTTCGCTACGGGGTGCGTCAGCTCTTCGGATCACCAGTACCAGCAAATTAATCACTGATTAACTTATTGAACCTGGTCGAGGCACGGATCCTGCACGGAGAGAACAGAACCTGAAAACTTTCGCTCTGTCTGTATGTATGCAAACACTATCGAGGTATTCAAATTTGTTGGATTTATAGCACTGTAAGAGTGCAAATGGCAAACTTTGAGAATTGTAGATCATTTGATGAAACCGCTGAAACTTGGTCGGCTTTCTCCGTTGCGTGCCTGGCCAGGAGTGTCTAACATTTCGCTCCGAATGATTAGTCGAGATTACGCTTGGGAGTGATATAAAAGATTCTTTTCTTTTCCCTCGTAGAGCAATTAAAACTAAAAAAATACACGTTTCTTTCTGTTTTTTTTAGACTAGAGCGATTTGGATGGTTCAACTTATCGCATGCCCCCGAGACGTTCTGACCACCAATGTATAGGAATCTACCACACGAATCGTTTCGTGTAGTCAAATCGGCTTAAAATTTGCTAGGTTCGATTTCCGCCGCTTTCTCGAGTCCAATAATTTGCTTGCAATTATGGTTTGCGACACGAAAACTGTCGTAGAGGTTTTAAACGTGTTTTAAATCTCTACGACAAAACCAGGGACCCGATGATACTGAATGATGAAAGTTGCTTCGATTTCTGCTCGACGCGCACTGCAAAAGTTCGCATGTGACAAAAAATTGTATTTCACGGACTGTCAATCGTTTCTAAGCCTTTGGCTACCTGTGGTTCCAGAATGTCGAAGAATTTCCTGCAATATCCTGTTTAACACTCAAGTCGAGTCAAGTATTTAATAAAAGAAGGTTTCCATTGCCAGTCGTTTTACAAGAATCGAGACGGGATATTCTACTATCACGTTTCTATGTGTGTACCCCAGGGGTTGTTTTGGATCAAAGCTCCGCGCTCGCCTTCCGCACGCACGTCATTTTCCAGTTCACTTTGATTGATTCCAGTTCATTGAGTCAAGGCTTCGTTTGCTCATAACTCACGCTATGAATGAAAACTAGTGAATCTCATAATCTGACCCTAGAATGATAAAAGACTATGCAACGCCCGGTTATTAGGTCTTATTAGCCCTGCACTTGTTCAACGGGGGAGCTAAAAAACATCAGTTGGGGGGGTTGGGGGGAGGGGGGGCTTTTAGATGGTGCGAGGACGTTAGTACATTAATGTCGTTAATATGGAAAAGGTGCACAGGCAGGCAAGCTTCAAGGGAAGGGTCTATAACCACAAGGTCTCAAAAGCAGGGCGACGAGCTTATGACCGACGTTTTACGGTATGGCGCAAATCCTGCACCATACAAGGAATTTTCAAGCAGGGGCAATTAAGAAAATAGGCACTTTGCATAAATGAGGCCTAAATTAAAAAAAAAAAAAACTTTATACATGCCAAACCTCGTGTTAATGTTTCCATGCAGACAAAGGATTTTTCACATGAATGTGAGGCTTAGGATGTATAAGTGTCGTTATTCAAATATCAGCACCATGCGTTCGCGCGACTTCCCCTTGGTTCTCGCTTTCTCCCGCCTAGAGGAAACGGAAAAGACTGCTACGCAGGCTATTTATGTAAAGGGTATATGTAGTCAATCCCAGAAATTGCCTGAGCCTCGAAATGATTTTAAGCCTCGCTATCAAGTAGAATTTGCACGGTTCTTTGAAAGAGAGCCACACTGTGAAATGGATGGGCTCGATTACCAGCCGCTGTTCGAGAAAGGAGCCCGCACTCCTCCCCCGAAGGAGGAACGTACACCGGACTCGAGAAAGCGGCGGAAATTGAGCCTATGAAATGGGTACCGTCGGAAAATAGATTTTATAGTTTACCTTATGAATTCAATAACGTGGGAGGCGAGCAGAAATTGAATAGGACCACGGGCTCATTTCCCAATAGTTACACTGTGTCACTTGGTTTGTCACACTTGTAGTTCGTTTTGGTTTGGGCCTGGGTAGGGTTTATCGTCTTGCCTTTTATTGCCAGACAAATTGTGTATATGAATGAAGAAGGGCTCATACGAAGACACAAGCCTTGAAACAATAGACTTCAAGTGTCGCTTAGAGTGGATCAAAGAAAGATAAACGTACTTAGGGAACTTTTAATCTACACGGTCTAAGAAAAGAAAATAATTACAAACAATTTTTACACAAAAAGCGCGCATACAAATTGAATTCAACATCTTAGAGGCCTGGTGTTATTGATCTTTCATACAATATAGTTCTCCTTTGGGCAGCATTTCAAAACGTGAATAGGCGGTCTTTGTTCAAGTCTTAAAAATACAAGGCGCGGTGCTTCAGCTTTATTTCCATCATAATGTACAACCTTCAGTCGTGAATAGATTTCAACGATATAGTTGACATTTGCACAGAGCTGTGTCCACAAACGGCTTATGATTTCGAATATATGCATAATAAAAGATGTCTGCATTTAAACATTTCGCGCAGGGTGGCCGTTTTTGTTTGCGAAAATAACATCACATCGCGCGGGAATCAAAGCATTTCGTTGTCCAAACGCCGACTAGCAACCTCAAAAGTGTTAATTAGTAATTGTTTCGAAGGAAAACGTGAAGATGTGCTCTTCAGCGTTGAAGAAATTCGATAAACATAACAGCAAACGAGATTCGTCCTGCAAAGAGTTGCGATGTGCTTACATGAAGCCAGGAGAAATAAGCAACGAATAATCATTGCATTTGCAGCTCTTTGTCGAAACGTTGGCTGTGGAGCCTAGAGGAATAGCTAGATAATCCACATCCATATTTTTAAAACAGTCTATAACGACATCTCAAGAGGCAACCGGTACAAAAATGGGTAAGTGATACTACATTTAAAGTTCCTACCCCTGAGAATGGATTACTCTTTTCATGACACAAGCCATAATCTGGAATTGTCACTTATGTTACATTTTAAATAATTGGGCTTTCAGGCCTCTTTCAGACCAGCCAGTATGATACCAGGTCTTGTTTCCCTTGTAACCGTGCTAGTGCTTTAAATTATCTCACATCCAAACTATATAAACAATAATTAAACGATCGAAATGTTTTGTCCAGTTTTTGAAAGCCTCTCTAAGGAAATGTCAGTGTGCGTTTTGTTGAACATTCCAGACAAACTCCAGACATTGTATCACTTCTCTACAGTGAAGTCACCAAGAGGCACCTTTGTTTTCTTCTTAAAAAAAATAAGCAAGTGTGCCCTAATAGGCGATGAAAATAGAGCGATTTTCCGTGGTTTTAAATTCACGCCTTGTCGCCAGAACCTCGTGAACTCTTCGGCTCTTGGTTCAAGCATTCGTTCTAAATCGACGACGTTTTCAAGAGCCTTCGCGCTTCGACGGAAAAGCGAACAAAAGCTGCATTCCTCTTGGCTAATTACCGAGACCACCAGTTCATTGTTTGCTTCGAGGCTCTAATATCGGCTTGTTATTCGGTGCGACACCGGCGGCATTCAATATTTCGTGCTAATCTCGAGAACAAAAAGCACCCTGCTCAATTACGAATTCGATCGACGTGAGCAGTGAATGCACAGCGAGACCGCCGGCTTTGCCAGTTGAGGTAAGTTTTAAAAATGATCGACTCCCAAACTTCTACTTCGTAAAAACTTGTAGGAAAAGATACGATCTTAATTTATATGGACATGGTTTGTATAATGCCGTAATTCATTCGCCTCTGTTCTCTAACCTGTCAGTGTGAACTTTTGGCATTCGGAATTCGGAAGGCGAACCTTCGCCCCACCGTCGATCGCTGCAAAACATTTGTTCGATTTACATTAACTTTTTGCCAGGAAAGCCTTTTTCAGGAATTGAGCAAGAATGGAACTAGTACAGAGTTTCAAGAGCATTCTGCTTTGTTTGTACAGTTGAAATCTTGTTGTTCTTTTGCTTCAGCTAAACAACATTAATATTGCGATACAATAAAGTGAACTTCAATCGGCCGGTTAAACCACAAAACTGTTTTTGTTAGTACTATCTTCGAAGAAGGCTCAATATAACAACGGAATTGTGAATAAATATTCAGTATATGAGTGCAGTAAAACCTTTCTTCTATGACATAAAAGAGTTCTAATTTGATCAAAATTAAACAAACACGCATATATTTCTCTTTGTGAATGAAATGTGACTGAAAGAAGAACATCGTAACTTGGCATTAAGACAGACAAATCTAATAAAAGGGAAAGCAGTTTCATTGCTCATTTTAAAGCGACGTTTCTGATCACGTAACACTTCGTTACGTATCAATGAACCGTCTTTATCTCTTTTGAGCTGATTACGCTGGATAATGTCTTCGCCAACGATGACTCACTGGTAAGATCATCTTTGGTGAATTGATTTCCTGATTCCCTGTCAGCTCATCGCGAAAATAAAATTCTTTGTATCTATAGTTCAAACCACAACGTGCCTTTGCAACACGCAAAAAGCCACAACCGCATTTTGCGAATACTGAGCATTTGTTAATTTCGTTTGATGCTCGTTCAAGCGTTAAACAGAAGGAAAAACAATGCTCTATAAAATGCGAATTCTTTCTTTTGTCATTTCCTTGTAAGTCGCTTTTGTCGTGTTTAACAAAAATAACAAGTTAAATTGAGTTAAATTGACGGAATTCATGTTACGGGATTATAGATGAACACGCGAATCAGGGTAACCTCGGAAACGAAAGCAGAGAAGGCGAGAGTACGTTCTTATAACTGATGCAAAATTGCACAAATAGTGTATGCCTGTTGCTTTGTTAGAAACTACCGCGGTCTGAACTAGTTATGGTAAGAGCATTCTCGCACGTTCAAATAAGTCATTCGTCTAAACGTTATTCTCGGTTTTACTGGGAGTGTGTTATACTTGTACCCTTCATGAAAGTATTGTTAATTCAGCCAATTATGTGAAAAACTCACAGTTAAACTACGCATTGATATTGTTCAGTAACACTTTTGATAAAATTCAACCCCCTCAGGTCTACATTCTCCTGACTGATTTTCATACATTTCTTGAAATAGCAGTTCGGAGAATTTGGAAGTTCATCACAACTGTGTTCACTTTTTGAGTAGTTGTCATTCTTTTAAAAGTGCACCCAACGAGACTGAAATTGAGGGTTAACCCTAACCCTAACCCAAAAGGTTGGGAATGACGTTGGTGCGTTTTCCGGTATCTCTTAGCGCGTTTAAAAAAGATGCATTGTGCAAACTAACAAATTTTGATCTGTTCATATTCTTTCAGTAGTACTGATTATCATCAATTCGCTACAAGTCAACTCGAGCCAAAACTAGCCGTTGCCATCGGTAGCCTCTGATGTTACATCGCCCTCACAAACAAGCTACGGCGTTTAATTTTGGCTTTCCCGCCGTCGTTGGCGACGCACTCCAAGTGAACTGTTGCTCCAGAAACCAATATCTTTGCTAAAAACTTCAGTTGGGTAACAAAAATTAAAACATACTATGTACGACTTCCTGTTGCCCAAATCTTTGTTCCCTCTTCCTATAGAGTGACAGTATGTCCCTTCTTCCACCCCAAATCCGGACGTCTTGAACTTTCCAAAAGAACAGATATTAAGTGTAATTTATGGCATTATAAAGGCAACCGGCCATTCATTATTTTTTTTTAAAGTAGACGTAATCCAAAACACAAAAAAACTCAAACTGAGAAACTTAAAAAATAAAGCAATCAAAATTCGAAAACGAAGAATTCGGAGCACGAAAACGATGCCGCTTTCGAAACTAAAACAAACTGTCTCACTTTCAAAACTTGAAAACGAAGCACCCGAACGAAAAAGAAGTTAAATAACATGCTAAGCCTAATTCAGTAGTACTAGACTAGTCTAGAATTAGGTGAGTACTATACTAGTAGAGAAGGAACGGATTCGAGGAAACGAACGACACCGTACCAGAACCACCTTCTGAGAAATTAAGAAGTCTGACTTGCGAAAAAGTGTGACATTTGTGTGATGCTGGCTGCAGATATGACGCAAGCATGGAATACTTTGGAACTGTGTTTACGTCTGGGAGAACCTCTATAAGGGTATATTATATTACTTACTTAGGTAGGCAATGCACGAGTGGCAAAGAATATTGTGCAGACCGGTCTCCTTATTGTGCGTCATCCAGTGCAGTTGGGTCAAAAACCCTCTGAAATATATAAGGTTGAACTAACATCCCTCGGTTACAATCGGTGCTATTTGAGGAAAGCAGACAAATTTTCTTGACTACCTTCCACTGATGTATTTAATTATAACTGTTAATATGACTGTCCAACATAATATTGATAATTCACAGACAGTACGAAGAATTTTAAATTTATTCAAGCCTTCAAGGGTCATGTTTACATGCTTGTTTTCATGCCTTTTTTTGAGCCTGTTTCCTGTTTAACTTTCCGCCCTTGTTTTGTTTGTAATCCTCTCAAGGACTCAGTGAACTAGAAGATTTACAACAGCGTTATACTCGCTTGGAGCAACTTTACAGCGAGGCTGTCAGAGCAAGGGACGAGGCCGTTGAAGAGAGAGACAAGGCAACTGTTCTTATCGCGCTTCAACTGGAAAGCGAAACAGAAGAGCTGAACAAACGGATCGAAATTCTGCAGAGTCAAAATAAGAAACTGTATGAAGAAAACGAGGATTTGAAAATCCGGTTGGGCTACGCTAAGGACGATATAAACAAATTACAACAGAGACATATTGCGCTTCAACTCGAACAAGAGAAGTGTTTACAAGAGAGAGAAGATGCCTTAGCTCGAGTTGAAGAATTTGAGAACAGCAGAGAAACAGGCGAGGTTGTCAAAGAAGAGGATAAACAAGGCGTCGGGAAGATGGCGAGCGAGAAAACGGTACGTTACCTTAAATATCAGAAATATATTAGCATTAGTAAAAGTGAAAAGGTGGTTCATAATGAATTTGAATGGCTAAGTTTATATAGTGACTCCTCTTAAGCCGTGAATTTTATCGTCACTGTATTACTATGTAAGCAAAGGTTTTGTAAAGCATAAGCAAGTGAAAATTAGCGATAAGAACGAATCTTGAGCGAATTTTCTGACAGTTTATCTTTTTGCATTTGAACTTGAAAATGGTGTCACGATGTCACCGAAATGTTGTTCTTTCTTATCGCTAAATTTTACTTGTTTACACTTTATTACTCTCCAAATATTTTGCGTTCAAACTCTGCTTGGTTGTTGTCCCGAGTGTTGTGTGCAAAAGTCTTCAAAGACCACAAAAGCCCACAAAAGCTGGACTTACTTATATTTGCGAAGCCAACCATATATTAGTTTGATCGGTATCAATTTTTGTCTACGTCTTGTTTTTTCTCCAAAGGATTTGAATGATAAATCAATTAATTAATAGTTTGATGTATTTATTCATTTACTTCAATTGTATCTCTGATTTATCTAATTTGATGATAAGACATGTTCCTAACCGATGACGCATTTCATGGTCTAAACGCAGTGTCGTCTCATCTCCTAAGTCAATTGTCGAGTCATGTTTCTCAAGTGCTGACGCAACTAATCGCTTTTGGCCGATGCTATTTCCTCGTACCGCAGTTATCAATATATTTTTTCTAGTTAAGAGATAAGATGTGCGACGTGTTTGAAGCGATGCCGCATTTCATCCCTAGGGAAATAAGCAAACCACCACGACGATGGCAACGAGAACGTCACGAAACAAAAGGCTTAATTAGCAAAACAATAGCTGTGCACGTGCGTTACAAATCTTTGCATATTTCGTCGACGTCCTCTGTAAAACAAGAACGTGAAACGACCAAGCTCTGCGTAGTCTGAGGAACGCGATCGATGACGGCTAATTTTTCGTCAGTATTTCCGTTTGGAATTGAACGCTGTCATTGCATATTTAGCTTGAGCACGTTTTCAGAGCCACTGGCGTACCGATCAAATCTAGACTATGACGAATTTCGCTGGTAAAATATAAATTCATTATTGACTAGGCTTCGTCGTTGCTTAAGCTCCCTAACTTTCGTGCCAATGACGTCTTATTGTACCCCGCTTGATTCAGTAAACTACTTTGTTTTTACAATGTAAGTCAATTCTGTTATCGAGACTGAACAAGGGGTCTCCATCGGCCACCAAGAATTCCGCGTACCGTAAAATAAACACCCAAAATGGATACAAAAAAATGTGGGAAGCCAGTTGTCCAAAGCATGAATATTATTCGCCGATGCTAATTGATGCACCCGGGTTGAGATATACATTGAGAGTTAAGTGTTGTCCCAAGAACATAATAGGATAAATCTGGCTAGGACAGCCTGATCCGGAGCCAAGCGCACTGAAGAATTTGGACCCCACGCCTACCACCCCCATTTGATTGGCCACGGACATTGTAAATACGCTGGCCAAGGTCTGTATATGTGTGGTCCGAGCCAAATTCGATACATGTTTTATTTTACCTGGGTGTTTTGAATGTGGTTTATTCAAAAACTAGCAAAAGCTTTCTTGAAGAAAACTTTAATTATAGTTGGTGGGAACCGAAACACCTTGGTTAAGACAACATCGTTCCCAGGGCTTCCCCTAGAGATTTCCCAAACTCTAAGGGAAAACCCTGGGAATGAGTTTGTGATTAAGACTTCTTAATTCTTTGAGACACTAATTTGGCAGCTTTTCGTCAATGACGTAAAAATTTGGAAATTTCTTCACCGTCTACTGAAAGAAAGAGCCCTAACTTTACAGTATTCATTCTCCCGCCTTCGTAAGTTCGTGACGTTATCGTTTGTCGACAACGTGACGTCAAACGTCAAATATTTCGATTACCAAAATTAATATGGCGAGGTCGACTTTTAAATACAAATTATAAGTAAACTTCCGGAAGATCGGAGAAGAGAATTATTCTGAAAGAATAATGAAACCTATAACAAAAATTATTTATTCGGAAACTTCGATACTGAAGTAACACTATCAGTAAAGTTTTTAATTAAAGATCAAGTATGAGGAAAATAAGCAAGTGTGACATACTTTCATTATTCGTCATTACATTCCAGTTTATTTCTGACGCGTCTTGTTTATAGCATTCCGCGCTCGCATAATGAACAAGGCCAAGGGGCCGTGACAATATTATTCTTTGGAAAAATCCACAAATATTAACGGGGTCACATACTTTACTTAATTATCAAACAAGATTTTCTTTGCATAAGAGAAGAATACGTGTNTATTAGGGCTTTTTTGTCCATTTCCCGAAAACCTTAGGTCTTATCGCCTTTCCGAAAATGATAGCTGACCTTTTTTCGGTACCCAAAACGACGTTTTCAACAGTCCGAAAACAACAGACATTAAATTTCTCATATCACGAAAGTTCGAGGTGCCAATTTTCTCAAGAAAATCAGAGGGGATTAAAGGCCTTCCGAACAGATAATTTACCGAAACGATCCGTTGGGTGCCCCTGCTCAGTTTATTTTGTAAAATATAATTTGAAAACAATAAAGTGTATAGAGTGTGTTTTGAATTTCGCCCGCAAGAAACAGCCAATCACAGACATTAACTGGATCTCGGTAGTGTTACATCATCAGAGTGGAATTTTATCAGTTCGAATTTCGGACGTTTATGAGGGGGAGGAAGATTCGGCACAGAAGCAGAGATGTCCGTTTCCACAGCTATTTCAGAGAATGCTTGTTTATTTATTTACTTTGCTAGAGTAACACAACTTTAACAAAGGACGAGTGCTTTCAATGCTACTCAGCTAGTTAGTTTACTCAGCTATTTGTCAAATGAACTTCTGGCTTACACGATGACATAGGAAAGGTATTTCAATCCAGTTCTACATAATTTCATTCCAGCGTCGGAAAAGGACTTGGAACTGGAACCCAGGCCACCCGTGACCGTAAAAAAGACACGTCTTGAAGACGTCTTTGATGTCCATGAAGAAGTCGGAAAGTAAGATACTGCAGTTATTAATATCACTCACACATCGAAAACGAAAGAACTTGAGCACAAGTAATGAACTGTATGTCATCAGTCAAAGCCGAAAGCTGAGGCTGATAACACAAGCCTTGTTTATTAAAGAAACTATCGTCTTGGTTTTGATAGACAAGCTTAAGATAGCAACTTATCCTGTTTATTAATTTGTCACATAAACTATCCAGTTATTTCTTTGTTACAACATGCAAATTGTCAAGTAAGGACTTGAACTGTTAACCCTTTGTCAATTATTGGAAACGTTAAAAAGGAATAGTAGAAGGAACTTTTAAAGACGTAAGCCATTTCGCGCGCTAATTCACGTCCGTGATTGGACATGAAAATGTTCCACACTAATGATGACGGAGTTGTGCAGAGGTCCCTACATAGTACATCTTGATCTTAACATGCAATTGTTATCAACGTCGTATTATGATTACATTATAAACCAAGCGAAAGGCGAGAATAACGAATATTGCCTCGATGTACCTCCAAATACTCTTAACTAGCATTAAAGAGTTCTATGGCGGACAGTAATGAGAATTTGTATGTGATTTCACGCAACAGGGGAAAGTTTGGTGTGGTAAAGAAAGTAACAGAGCGCTCCTCCAAGAAGGTGTTTGCTGCCAAGTACATCCGGCTCGGCTCCAGTGGCAGCGGTTCTTCGCGAGAAGATATCATGCGCGAAATCAACATCATGAACCAGCTACACCACAAGAGGCTTGTGGGATTGGTCGATGCATTCGACATGTCCAGGAACATTGTTATGATCATGGAGTTGTAAGTAAAAGTGACTTAAGCTATGTTTACACTTGGCGCCCAAGTACAGTGCCAGAGAACAATTATCCCTGGCCACTAATGTGAACACACCTTTTTTTCCAAGTGCTCACACCAGAATTCGGACACAGTGTCCATGCCCTGGTACATGGTCTCGACCTTGTACTCGGGCACCAAATGGTACTTGGGTCTTTGGAGAACCCAGTGTCTGAGCGCAACACTATTTTACTGGTGCCCAGACACTCGAGTATGCAGGTGTTTTCGAGAAACGTGGTATAGTATCAAAAGGAACGATTAAAATGGTACAATCTTTGCTTACGATAATCACAAGCGCAAGCGACGCGTTAAAGTCATGAATTCGTTTTTTACTCACCCACGCTCCCTCGTGAAAGACTCCGTCGCGACAATCGTAAGTAATTCGTTCGTTTGCACGATTTGTTTTAGTCAATAATATCATCGTCTAAATCAACACAAGGTTGTTGATTTCCGCAAAAGTAATTTTTTCTATTCCCTAAACTGCATGTAGTTGTCGATTTTGATCAAACTCCTCTCTTCTGAAAATGATCTTCAGTAATCAGGATTTAACGAGTAGCGATTTATTTGCAGTGTGTCAGGGGGAGAGTTATTTGAACGTGTTGCGGATGCCGATTGCTTGACGGAAAAGGAAGCTTCTTTTTACATGTACCAACTGCTTCAGGGCCTTCAGTACATGCACATGAAGAACATTGTACATCTTGATCTTAAGGTAAATAAAACCTTTCATAAAGCTGATCATAAAAAGTTCTGTTTCTCCCCGTCGACAATTTGTCGTGTCCTAATTAAAGTGTAATTAAGGGCAAGATGTATAACTATTGAAATCAGTAATGAAAAATAACACCTTTGTTTAATAAATTATAACTAACCTTGTCAAAGCTCTAACCCCGATACCCTGGGTACCAGAGGCTTTTCATGCGCGGTTTCCAGTTATGACCAAATCTTTATTTTCCACTTTAGAAACGAGAAAAAAAAACTGTCATCTTGTAGGGGCTTATGGGACCGTTACTGGGGACAAAGACAAGACGTCTTCTTGTTCCCATGAAGACTGTGAGATGAGACTTGCCCCAGATTCCTTTTCGTTTCTTAAGTGGCGAATTGTGACTCATTCGAATAGTTTTCTCTCACGACTTTGCGACTCGTAATGTCTGTCTTCGGCCGACACGAAACATCGAGGAAAAAAACTTCTGGACCCATGGTAGAACCCGGACTTCTCGCAGTCTCAGGGGTGGTGTGGAGTAGGAAGGAAAGAGACAGCCCAAAAAGAGCATTGGCTTACCTTTACCTGAAACAGTGATAGCTAGTCTGACCGGGTCACGGGAGAGATCGGCATATAAATGCTCCTAACTGTGCTTTGTGTTATTTTNAAAAATGCCAAGTATGTGCAAGGATAAAAAAGAATTGCAATTTTGGTCAATAAAACGACAGCGTCGGTATTGGAACTTTAATTGTTGATGGTAGCCAAATGCTTGATGCGAAAAAAACGCACGTTCAAACTGTTGAATCCACAGTAGATTCCGGCACATACAAAATGGCCGTTAAATCAAGTTGAAAACGAAACCATATAGAAACGAAATTTATAATAAACTTCTACTAAGTTTTTAATAAATTTCTGTGTTTTCTTTAAACTGCAGAAAACGTAACACAATCAAACACTGTCTAGAACACGACTGGATGAAGGTAAAGAATTGCATTAAATGAAGTTGTTCAAGTTACGTGTAGCTCTTTATTTCTTTAAGTGTATTGGTTTATCGACGGGTTTATTGATTGATCGATTGACTGACAGTCACGGATTGACACTTTAACGGATTGACGGATTGACGGTCTGACGGACGGACTGGTGGACTGACGGACGGACTGGTGGACTGACGAACTGAGTGAATGAATGAATGAATGAACGAATGTTGTTCTCTACTCAACGTGATAAAATGCTTGACGCCTACATGTTATTCTTTTCGCGTCGTATAATCTTTTTGTTATCTAGCGTAGAACTATTTTTATATTTTCTACCTCTTTGTCTCTCTAGTTGTTTGTCATGATTCCACCTTGATTAGCCTAATACTACCAGCGGATCAGTTTTACATTTGTATCAATTTTTAAATTCACTTGAAATAAAAGTGTGTGTCAAAGTGTGTACTGATGGATTGTTTGTTTTAATTATTTTAGAAAAGTGCCTCAGCGAACGCTGTCAAAATCGACACCAAGAAATTGAAACAGTTTTTGGCCAAAAGAAGATGGCAGGTAAATCCTTTAAATGAAGATGAAAGAAAGTGTCATACCACTCTTTCAACAGTTAGCGCCGCCACGATAGTGAAATCCAAGATGACCGATGTACTGTATTTGTTCCTGGCCTTTAACAGTCATAACGATACACAGCTTATTCAGCTGCCTCAAGTTACACAAATGCTTCTTGCACTTCCATTATTGATTTTTAATTCGCTTTATATTGATCAATTAATGATATTTATCACTAGCCGATTGATTTTATGAATTATGCGATGAATATTAATCAATGAATGAATGATTACTAACATTGATGATTTGACGTGATTTGCTAACATTAACAGCTAATAAATAACTTGAAATCAGATTAATAAACTGTTGATTATTTACCATGGGATTTTTAACGTTTAATCTGAAGTATAATCTAGAATTACTTGCACATACTTTGGCTAATTGCATAATAATTATATTCCTAATTAACCCAGTAATTATTGACTAATTTAATTGTTTTTAATCGATAATTACATGAACTTTATATTTTCACCTTACGCGATATCTCACCCAATTCCAGACACCGTCATTAGGTCAAATATTTTGACTTTCTGAGAGCGTGGGTGTTCTTGACTTCTAATTTAGAGAAAATCCAGAAACTTTTGTACAATTGCTCTAAAAGTCAATTAATCAACAGAAAATGACTCACAATACACTTCACATAACTGACAAGCACATTATTTTTCTGGTAAATAAACATTCACTCAACTCAAATCACGTCAGTCAAATTCTGTACATGTGCTTACAGATTCCCAGCTTAAGCGCATGCGTCAATTATTCAGGGCCGCTGACTGATGACGAAATCCTCGAGGTTAGTCGAGTGTGGAAACAACTAGTCAAGAGTAACCATGATTACCGACCCGTGAATTCTGTGTTTAAACTTTGTATTGCTGTGTTCTTTTGTAGAGAATAACTCTTTTAGCGTTACTTTGGTAAATGGTCCTTTTTCAAAGGTCTGCAGGAGAAAAGAAAGTTACACTTTTGCGAAACGGCGCAATTTGAAATTATGAAAACTACCTTCAATCAACGTTCTTTTCTCCTGGCTTGCTATACTAAAAGAACTGGGTGTGTATTTAATGCCACACGTTCAGCGCTACTAAAAATGAGGCATCAGGAGTAAGATTAAAGGGGCTATGCCATAATGTTCAAAGTCAACCGTTTGCGATGCATAAAACTACCTCTGCACGAACAAACCAAAAATTGACAGTTAAAATGATGACAACGTCATCAACTTCAATAAAGAGGGACAGACAGAGAGATTGTCTATCATAGTCTCTTTGTCTACACATTCCACAATTCTATCAACTGACACCGACCCAAGGTAAGTATTGCACGCACATACCTGGAGCGGGTATAATTACCGTGTAGGCACAGTTAGAAACCTGGCATCACATACACAGCAATCGATCCAGAGAGCATCATACCATGACAGGGAGAGAGTCACAGTGACGTATACTCAATCCGCATCGAATTATCTAGTTTTAGGAAATCAATTCTGCAGTTGCGAGAGTTGCACAAAAAACACGGTTATCCTTGCGCAGATGCATATTTGTGATGACTGAGTTCATTGACTGGTGATCAAACGTAAATGGGAAATGAATACGGAGATCGATGGAATCATATTGACGAACACTTTCATGGTTCCTAAAGTTGACAGGTTGATTCAAAAATAACTCCATCAACTCAACCAGTGAAGTGAGGCATGCTTAGGTTATTCCCGTCTGGTTTCGATATACTTTCCGTTGGACGTAACAGCTTAACCGTTGTCTTGGTTACCCTGATAGTAATGGAGCATTTCGTTATGTTCATTTACATGTGAGGGTCAATCTCTCCATTCTAAATGAACAAGGTCACTGAGGTGAATTATTAGCGTCTTACAAAGTTGTTTAATCAGTGTTATAAAATGAGTTAAGAAGAAATTTGTGTTTTAATACCTAAATACAACCACTGTGTCATATCCTCCTGTTTCTGTATTTGTAGAAGTCTGTCAACGCCCTGGTAGCTGTTCGCCGACTATCCAGCTTAGCATCTCTTATGAACGTGAAGAGCCGCCCTTCTATTGCACCGTCGTTAGCGACTGTGGCCTCTGCCAACGAAGAGGAGGAGGAGACAGCTGATGACGGGGCACTGCAAGAGGATAAGGAACAGGAGCTTGTTCGAGACATAGTGGACATGGCTTTAGAAGAAAACATTGAGCAAATCTCTATAAGTATGTGCTAGTATCTCTTTTTGATTAACATTTCTGCCTTGTTACTTTGCCTTCACGTTTGACTAATTTTCAGACATGACTGACTGACTGACGGACTGACTGACTGACTGACTACTGACTGACTGACTGACTGACTGACTGACTGAATGACTGAATGAATGAATGAATGAATGAATGAATTAATGAGTCAATCAATCAATGAGTGAATAAATGACTAACTATCGGGCCTACTTAACGACTGGCTGTCTGACTGAATGACTGAGTGACAATCGGACTGTCTGGCTGCCTGACTTGTTGACTGCCTTCTTTTTTGTGTTCAACTTTCTTTCTGTCTGTCTGTCTGTCTGTCCGTCCGTCCGACTTTCCGTCTGACAGAACTACTGACTGAAGGACTGGCTTGTAGGCTGACTGATTGTCTGATTACTTTGATTAATTGATCGATTGATTGCTTATTGACTTGAACAGAGCCGCCAGTATTTACGAAAGAATTAAGTGACATCTCCATTAACGAAGGAGAAACAGTTTCATTTGAAGTCGGCATCGAAAATGACTCCAACTGTCATCTGGAATGGCTTAAGAATGGCGTCAAAGTCACTGAGGGTGAGCGGTTCTCTCTTGTCAATCACGGTGAAGGTGGTTATTCACTCACCATCCGGGATACTCAAGATGACGACTCTGGGGAGTACCATTGTGTGGCTGAGAACGAGGCTGGAAGGGTGACTTGTGGTGGAAAGCTGTCTATAGAATGTAAGTAGCATTGGAACCCTGCGTTATTGATGACACCTCAAATTATGATCAACTGTGCTCCCGCACTTGACATATTCCTTTACAGTCTTGCACTGGCACTTCTGCAAATTGTTTGACGAACGTTAACTCGAAAATGTGGAGTGTGGAATGTGCCCCTAGAAAAACTTTTAAATCGAGGACTTAGAATTACAAGGCCCAAGCTACTTACAACAAGCCAGCTTTTTCACTAGGCGCTTACGGGGTTAGACATTGTGATGTTAATGTTATATATCAAACAGGAGAGACCGTGTTTTACCACATCTTCAAACACCGAGAGGAGTGTTGAAAACAAGCTTCGAGACGTTTGGAAATGTGGTTTAACACTCTAAGAAGGGAACAGAGAGAAAAAATAAAAAAGGGCTCCTAACTAAGACTCTAAGATCAAATATCCAAGCACCTTCACGGTTATCATTTCCCTTCATTTAAACTTGAAGTATTATTAATGAGGTCCAGAATTTATGTAACGAAGAAATATTGCTCCTACCACCTTTGAAGAGCTTAAAATTCTAAGGGATCCGCGATTTCTCTTCTCCGAGTTAAGGCAGGCACTCCTTAAGGTATATTGACAGCAGAAAAACACGATAAGTTTGGACACAATATCAGGAGACCTCCCTGTCTCAATTGAGGATAGCTAGGCAAATTGAGATGNTTATTTTGTTTTTTTAATTTGTTCATTTATTTACTTATTTTGTTTGTTTGTGTTTTAAGATATTTATTTCGGACAATTTCATTAACGATGAAGTAGAAGCATTAACATGATATATAAAATCCTTTCTGTGTGAATATATTTTCATTTGGCTCAAATAAACGATTTTTTTTTTCACTTTTTAAATGTTCCGCACATGTACATCTTAACAAAATTACCTTGGCAATAGCTGTTGTTACAGTGGAGTCTACGGTCAAATAGTCGTTTGTTTAAAAAGGCATGAAAATGAGGCAAATGGGTCAATACAAAGCAGAATTGACCCTTTCGCCTCGTTTGCATGTCAAACCGCTGATAACTTTAATAACAGCTAATGGCTCTGATTATTCTGCACTGCCCCGTTTTCAAGCATTTAGAGCTTAGTCCCAAACATTCTTCTAAATCATTAGAACTCTGGTAAGGAATGAAACTTTGAACATGGAAGAGATTTATCTTTGAAGTACTTTTCTTTCTTCTTTGAAAGGGAAATGACACGACTTTGAACTTTATCAGAGTACAAAGGCATAGATAAGAAACACAGAGGTTTCATTCATTAAATATGAATACAGATAAGAAACTGATGCATCAAATTTCCTAGAAATCGAGGACACTTAAGTTCTTTTTTCATGCTCAACAGAAGTCCCAGTCTTCACTCAGGAACTACGTGACGTCACAGCCAATGAACATGACACCGTTACCCTTGAGGTGATAGTCAGCGGTAACTCGGCCTTCGAATTGGAATGGTTCAAAAACGCGGTTGACATCACAGAAAGCGATCGTATTTCACTGGTAAACCACGACGACGGGCGGTTCACACTCAACATCCGGGACTGCGAAGATGACGACACTGGAGAATACTGTTGTGTGGCTCAGAACGAGGCTGGGAGGGTCACGTGTGCAGGCTGGCTGACTGTTGAAGGTAAAATTAACTAAATTTGTATAAGACCTTAACGTTTAAACTCAAAATCAGCTATCCTAGGAATATCTCTGTTATTATTATTTATAAAATGATAGGTTGAGAAGAAACTTCACGAAGTTTGTTTTCGCCAGCAGTGCTGTGCAGTATTAGATAAAACAGGCTTTCTTGTTAAGCTCGCAGTTGGCTTGGATAATTAATACACGCTCAATATAAACATAGTAAAAGATTTCCAAAGTATTTAAAGCGGCAGTAAGTAAACGGTGCTGATGTTGCATACCAAGATAGCAAGAACGTTAAACAAACCATAGTTAATACTGGGGAATGATTATGAACTCGACAAACTTCTTTGCTGTTTGTTTTTGCGCTCTTTTTTGGCCTTTACCGTGCACAAAACAAAATAGTTGTTTACTTCGGATTGAAGAAGTACCCAATAGAAACGTTTCGGTTTCGGATATGTATAGTGTATGAGCCCCCACAAAAAGATTGTGCGCGGTCGTGGACCTTCCAACATAACCCTCGGCATCTTTGTTTGCTCCTTTGATGTTCGCCGGGCTTCATAACCATTCCCCTCTATTTGCTATGAACAAACCAAACAAAACTTCTCGTTACTTTATTCATGATGATTTGAATGAGTGACATTCCAGCTGACAGGCTAAATAAATTTTCAGTTGAAAGCGTTAGATCTGATGACGATGAAGAGAGTGAGGAATCAGAAGATGACGATGTATTTGTGCCAAAAGAGTTTGTTGAGATCAGAGAAGGCAACGTTCAAACCCATTACTGTATTGAAGAGGAGGTTGGCAGGTACGCTTCACAGTTACAAACTTCTTTTGTTTGGACTGGGGCTAAGTAGACCTAATTAGTAACGTTGAAAACGTGGTAAATTCTTTAATTTTAATTCTGAATGTTGATTAACGTACCTCATCAATCCTTTTAGCTCTGAGTTGATTGGCATCGACTACATTTTGACTTCCCATCAACGCGGCAAAACATTGTTTAATTTTCAGAAAAAGGTCACTGAAATAACTAATTACTTAGCAAGACGGCTCAACTGCTACAGAGATGCGAGCAGGTGCTGGTTTCAAAAGCCAGTGGACTGTTGCACTCAGGTTATCAAAGATGAAAGAGAGTCTTAAATTCAAGCATTCGAATTTTTTTCAAAACCGATCAGAGCTGGTATGGAACTTTTTAGGTTGAATCTATCTCGGGTTTTCAAACAGCCTGTATTTTTCATTGTTGGATACAATGAGCCCAGTTTTCAGAGTCTGCTCAGGCAACGATAAGATATTTCGTGCTACTGTGCTGAACATCAGACTTAAACAGCTAATCCGAGCGAACATGTAAGTTAAATTCTTACATATCAAATCTAACGTCTTATGAGCGATCGCACCTCGCGCCCACAAATAGATGCATATAGCTAGCCTACTTCATTCGCCTCACCAATTCTCGTTGTTACCGCCATTAACATTTCAGAGGTCGATTTGGCATCGTTAAAAAGTGTGTGGAACTCGACACTGCCACGAGGTTCTGCGCCAAGTTCATCAAATCGAGGCCCAGCCAGAAGGAAGAGTTTAAACGTGAGATTGACGTCATGAATGCTCTTCATCATCCTCGTATCATCAGACTGCAAGACGCGTTTGACGAACCAAGGCAGATTATTCTCATTATGGAGTAGTAAGTGGCATTGGACAATCTTATGCGGTAGTCTTACTGATAGGGCAGTTTACATTTGAGTGTCAAAAAACAATTGGTTTTGCCATTAGAGCGGTTTTCAATTGAGTGTCGAAAGTAATCAGGCAATTACTTTGGTTTTGGTTTAGGCTCTACTACGGTTTGAAGTTGGCTTAGAAGTGTAATTAGTAAGTAATTGCTTCGGTTTTGGTTTTACGACACTCAGTTGAAACTGTCCTATGAGGCCGCACGATTGGCATAAAAAAGGCGCCAATTTGTCGTCTAATCAGAATTAAAATCAAAACCAATCGTGACTCGTTCGCACGCGTTTTCCTACGCTTCGCTTCTGCTACATGTAATTACTTCGAGTTTTGATTGGTTCACTGCGTATTCTGTGTCCTTTGTGATTGACTAGAGTGATTCCTTTGGTTTTGGTTTTGCGACACTCAATTTAAACCACTCCTTCCTAAGCCGGGACGGAGGAGTAAAAGTGTTGTGAAGACCAACGCGGTCCATGGTCGATTTTTGAACGATATTGTACATCTACCAACTGTTTGATGTTTCAGTGTTTATTCTGCGAAGTCTGTTTTGGTGCACTTCACTGTACTAAGGAAATCGATACTCAGACTAAACCCACGATGTTATCGAAACCAAAAACATTAAACCATTTCTTTCATGACTTATTCCCCGCTTGGCACCGGTTGCAAGTTTTCCCGTGCTTTACACAGGTTTCAAGTTTTCCCGCGCTTGACACGGGTTACAGGTTTTCCCGCGCTTGACACGGGTTACAAGTTTTCCCGCGCTTGACACGGGTTACAAGTTTTCCCGCGCTTGACACGGGTTACAAGTTTTCCCGCGCTTGACACGGGCTACAAGTTTTCCTGTGCTTGACACCAGTCACAGTTTTCCCGCGCCGCTGGTAAAAGTTCTTTTTTTGCCAATGACAGAATTTTTTTCTTTGTGTCCTGATTGGCTTTATTCAGTGTTTGTTGTTTGTTATAGTGTCATAATGGTTGGTTTCTGACAATGGTTATTGCTTTCTTTGTTCATCCAGTGCCAGAGGAGGTGATTTATTCGCTCGTATCGATGGAGACTCTCTTCCCGAGTTTGAAGCCGTCAAAATTCTGAAGCAAGTGTTGGACGCCCTCAAGTTCATGCACGACCTTGGCTTCATGCATTTGGACCTCAAGGTTAGAATATGAGAGAGACCCAACCGAGTAGCTCCCTGCTCTCTTGACTCTCTTTCGCTTTCCACCTAAAGATCTGGGGAAACTACCTTCTTGCTACATGTAAATACATGCACCTTGGGTCGGTCGGTAAAGAAGAGCTTAATTTTTTTTTGTTCATTTGCGTNATCGGAAAAAGTGAACGGAACGGCCACTCCGTGGAAGTGCCAATGATAATTCCTACCTCTTTATTATGCACGTTTATTTGTTTTGATAACCCCAAATCAACATAATCACTGTAAACAACGCGTAATTCGAGCTTGATAGGGATGAAATGTAACGTTAATTGCTAATTAATTTACTCGTTAATTTACCGTACTTATTCCAGGATGAGCTGGCTGTCGACGCAAATTCTAACGTTGTATCCCCGACAGAACGAAAGAGACAAGGTAACTTACAACGAAATATAGCACCTCCGACGTTTGTAGATTTAACAGTCAGGAAATACTTGTCAGTCTTCAAGAGTCTAACTTGAATTTCATTTTAAATCTGTCTCGAGAAATCCAAAAACTTTCTAAAGCGAGAGCAACGGAAAAAAGTCCGATCGGACATAGCCTAAGAAAACCTTCCACTGAATCAAATCAAGAGATTATGTTGTATAATGTAAATGTATTTCAGACGTCAATATTTTCGCTGAACATGTGTAAACTGTAGGATCGTAGCTAAAAAAAATTGCCTTGTTGAGCAGTATTTTCATGTCATATGATTTGAATATTTTACACGTTGAAATGCAGGAATTTTTAATTGGTTTTAATGTTTGGGCATTTCAGGTGTCAATGTTAAGCTAAATATGTAGGCTGTAGGTTCGTAGCTGTACGTTTTGCAATGATTTACGATTGACACACGCCCTTACCCCCTAGATTTTCTAAGTATTATTTCAGTGGACATATTTGAGATAGTGTGAACGTGATGCAAGTCTGTTCATAAGTGTGTTGAGTCAAATGTGTTTTTATGAAACTCTTCGTTCATTCACAGAGAGCAGAAAGTCGGAGGAACAAGAGATCCCTTTTGATGCAAAGAAACTCGAGTCAAAGTTAAAGACACTACTCTCCAAACTGCAAAACACGGAGAAGGAAAATCAAGAACTGGAAGAAAAACTTCGCGACGAGGAAGAAAGAGCTGATACACTGGAAGATGAACTTCATACAAACGAGAATTCTAAGAGAGAACTGGAAGAAAAGGTTTCGAAATTAGAAACGGAAAAGATTGATCTTTCAAAGAAAGCTAGAGCAAACAGCGATGTTTTGAAAAGAGTGGCTGAGACAGAAGGAGAGAAAAGAGCTTTGGAGGATAAACTTTCCGAACAAACAAAATATCTGGAAACTTTATCTCAAAAATACGATTCGCTTAAGGAGAAGATGGACAACTACGATGTGCTTGAAGAAAAAGTTTATCTTTTGGAGCGAGAAAGGAAAGAAAGCAGAGACACGAAGCAGCATTTGGAAGAAAAAATTGAACGTTTTCACGCAGAAAAAGAGGAATTGTCACAAATGAACGAAACTAATACTATGGTTAATACAAATCTTGAGAATGAAATTTCTAAGCTTAGAGAAGACAGAGATAGATTTGAAAATCAGTATGTCACTCTGCGAAGTGAAAAAGAATCTTTAGTTGAGGAACTTACTAAACGATTCAGTGTTTTGGATGAACAGAAAAGCACATTAACACTAGAGAAAAACGAATTGGAGACAAAACTGAAAACGTTTGAAAATGAGAACAAGGATTTGAAGCTCAAGTTGGATAGCACTGCACAGGAATTGAAAGGTTTGAAAGAAACTGCTAAGCAAAATGCAGAAGAAAAGGACGTAGATGAAATGGAAAGAGAGTTAACAAAGATCAAGAAACAGAAGGATGAAGCCGAGAAAACTTGTGAAGATTTGGCTTCCAAACTTAGCAAAGCTTACGCAGAATTGGAACAAGGAAAGCCATCATTAAACAATGATGGAGTGCAAGGTGGGTACTTTTGTTTTCATAGTGTGTAATATTCAAATTCTCCTTACCGCATCTCTCATTGCTTATAGAACTGGTAAGAAGAATTTATTAATTAATCAAGACAACTTGCCCATCAATTCCTTGAGACTTTAGGACTAGGTTGTTGACCTGATGTTACTTTCGGAGTATGAACGTTAGGGAAATATAATCTTTTCCTTTTCCAGCAGTAAGAACTCTCTTCTGCAAAGTCCATGAAAAGACAACCAGACTTTTGTTTTTAACAATTTACATATTCCAGGCCTCCATTGATAACCTTTTCCTTAAAAAAAGTCGCTGATACAGCTTAAAGTCAACTGCAGAGTCTTCTCGACATTGTTTTCCAACTGGGTGGTTGAGTGATCGAGAAAAGATCGTCTTAACTTTTTTAGTGTATGAGAGGAATATTACCATTCTTTCCGTGAAATAAACATTGTCAGAAGAATTTATTACCATTAGCGTAGTTACGGTGGACTTACTAGATGGTCTGTGTTTACACTTAACTATAGTGGATCAGCAAGAGGAAATTTCCACTCTGCAAGAAAAGGTGACGTCACTTGAAAGAGAGAGGGACAGCCTGGAAGACGATCTGGACGACAGGGAAGCTGAAATTGACGAACTGAAAAAGAAAATTGAACAACTAGAAACGGACAACAAAGCAAAAGATAGCGAAATTCAGAATCACAAAGCAAATTTAGACTCTACAAATGAGGAAATTAAGTCGTTACGATTAAAAAAGAACGAGGCTGATTCGAAAAAGCTTAGAGAAGCTGAAGTTGATTTTGACAAGAGAGTCAAGGATTATGATGCTATGGTTGATAAGCTTGCGAAGGAAGTTTCAGCTCTGCAAGGAAAACTTTCAGCGGCAAATCAGAAAAACAAAGATTTGGAGGAAAAGGTGAAATCGAGCATGCAGGTGAGGATTTTTGTCTTGGGCTTACATGAAAAAACACAATAATTTATAGATTTTAGTAGATAATATGATCATCGACCCTAATCAGTTATTTATTTTCAAATTATAAGAAAGTCAATGAGATCTAATACTTTCGACAGAGAGGATGAAGAGTAACACAGTTAATCCACTATGTAGGCCTTATTCACAAGGCAAATCCTCTTCTAAGTTATTTATAAACATGGTATCCACTTCTTCCGCGCATGACGTTACCACGCACGTTGCGCGGATGTTTTCGTGGAGAATGAAAATGCGTGTAAATTCGCTTTGGCTGTCCTCGTGAAAGAAAGCCGTGTCACAAGAATAGTTATTTCTAAATCTTTCGGGAATTGCCGAAACCGGGAGTGATCTCAAAACTGAACTTGAGAAGGAGTACTTTTGGATTAACTCTCTTAGCTTCACAATCTCTTGCGGAAAGTAGAGCTGACATTTCTTCTTATTGCTCGTTTCCATATGATCGCTATACGGTCGTTACGATCGCTACAGAAAAAGTCTTGAGCAATCCTTACGACTTCGTTCGCAAACGTGTTTCCTTATGACTGCCACGATCACTACAGAATAAAATAAATGTTCGAGGAGACATAGCGCATTTCCCGACGCTACATATTCTGGTACAATTATCATAATAACGACTGCTTCAAGGTCCTGCATTCTCTGGAGACTGGTTTCCACAAGATGGCAACTATGGCTACTGTCATTGAGACAGAATTGAAGCGATCGTTGCGGGAACGACCACTGCGATCAGAGGAAACTGATTGGGTTTGCTCATACTGATCGCAACGTTCCCTGAAATTTTTTTAGAGCGATCGTAGAAACTATTCTTAATTTCAGGTATAAGTTATACTGACGTTTTTGATACCTAATATGTTCAGAAAATTTTGTCTCAGGGCAAAACAATCTACATAACGACAATCGAATTTGTGTTGCTTTCTTTGTTAACAACCTTCACATTTCAGGTTAAGCATGGCGAAGCTATTCTGGAAAACGAAATCGTTGTAAGGAGCGAACATCAGCTAGAAAATGCTTCAATGAGCTTCGATGAAGAACAACTGCTTGAAAGCGGAGAGAATGGTCAAGTTGAAAGTATTTCATTTGAAGGAGGGGTTAACGGTGCCTTCCTCAACAAAAGAGAAAGCGAAAGGAACATGACGCTGAAGAAAGACTTCGATGAATTGAAGATGCTTTTAGAGGAAGCAGAAACGAAGTTGGCGAAAGAAAGAGAGAAAATTCGCACATTGGAAGATGAGCTCCACAATTTCGAAGTAGAGAAAAAGAGAGGACTGAAGATGTATCGGGAGCTGGAAGAAGAATGCAACAGGTTGCGAGAGGAGTTGAATGACAATGAATCATCTCAGAGCCAAGTGGAAGTTCGGCTGCGAGAAAAGCTAAGAACAAGATTGAAGAATAAAGAGGAAGAGATCGAGGTTTTGAGCAAACGGTTTGACTCACTTAGGAAGGAGGTGCAAGTGATCAAAGAAGAGAGAGATAAAGGGAACACACTTTATGTGAACCTCGCCGAGAAGTACAAGAATCTATTGAAAGAGAACAAGAGTTTAGAGCAGGAAAAACAGGAACGGGATCAAAGGGATGGCAAATCTCGCGAGCTGGAAGACTCTCTTCAAACAAGAATTCAAGAGGTGATAAAGATGAAAGATGAAATCGAATCAATGAGGGACAACTTACGCGTTCTTGTGCAAGAGAAGGAAGAAGGTATGAGGGAATACAGTTCGCTTCAAAAAGATCTTGCTAAGTTAAAAAGTGACCGCCAACAACTGGAAGAACAAATCCAAGATGAAATGCAACGCGCTGATAAACTAGAGAAGGAACGTTCTTCTCTGCAAGGAAAGGTCGAGGAGATGCAGAAGGACTTGAATAAGCGAGATCTGGTGGCTGCGGCAGACAAGAAGACAATCAACACCTACGCCGATGAAATTAAAGTTCTTAAAGATGAGAAAGGGAACGCTCTTACAGAGGTAGAAAAGCTTAGGAAACAAAGCAATAATCTGCTTCAGGATCTGGAGAGAATGAGCCAAGAGAGAGAAGAGATTGAAACTCTTAAAATGGAAAAGCATAAGGCGCTGAAAGAAATTGAGATTTTGAGAAACGAAAATGCACGTCTTGAACAAAAAGGTGACGAATTCGACCAAATAGCGGCCGATCTTAACAGTCTCAGAGAAGAGAAGGTCATTGGACTCAGACAACTGGGGATTTTAAGAGAAGAAAACGAAGCTCAAATAAACAAAGCAATGGAAGACGTGGAAGATCTTAAAATCGAGAGAGAGAATGCGATAAGAGAAATCGAGATTTTACGAGGTGAAAATCAACTCCTTCTTCAAAAAGTGGACCAGTTCGACAAAATGAGGAGAGATTTTGACAGTCTTAAAGATGATATGGAAAATATGAACAGGCTAAAGGAGGATGTTTACGCTCTGAAAACTGAAAAAGAGAATGCACAGAAAGAAATCGAGATTTTGACTAATGAAAATGAACTCCTTTTTCAAAAAGCGGACCAGTTCGACAAAATGAGGAGAGATTTTGACAGTCTTAAAGATGACTTAGAAAATACGAGCAGGCTAAAGGAAGATGTTACCGCTCTGAAAACGGAAAAAGAGAACGTGGAAAAAGAAATCGAGATTTTAACTAATGAAAACGAACTTCTTCTTCGCAAGCTTGACGAATTCGAGCAAATACGAGAGGACCTCGACAAACTCAAAGACGAGAAAGTGATTGGATTGAGAGAAATGGATATTTTAAAAGATGAAAATGATGCCCTCCATGAGGAACTTAGGACAATGAAGCAAAGCGGAGAAATTGAAGAGAATGAAACTTTAAAGAAAGACAACGAAACTCTGCTTCGACAACAAGAAGAAATCAAAAGAGTGAATTCAGATTTAAAAACTGCTGCAAATGAAAAAGAAAAAGTTTCCAAAGAGAATGAAACACTAAAGAAAGAACGTGAAATCCTAATGAACAGAATAGAGGATTTAACTGAGAACAACGAAGATTGTAGTGTGTTAAGAGACGAGAAACGTAGCCTGTTGATAGAGTTGGACAGATTAAATCACGAGAATGAAACTCTGCTACAGGAATTTGAAAACGTTAAGGCAGCGAAAGATATTTTAGAAAGAAAGAAGCAAGCCCTGACAAACGACTTCGAAAGAACAAGGGAAGATCTTCAAACCTTGAAAAACCATAATGAAATCCAGTTGAGCGAATTGGACAGCTTGAAAAAGGAAAATGAAGCTCTTTTGGCTGAGCTTAACTCATTTGAAAACATCAAACAGGATCTTAGAACCTGCCAACACGACAAGCAACGTCTTCACAAAAATTATCGAGACCTCGAAGTCAGCTTGGAAAACCAAGCACTGGAAGCTATGAGACTTAAAAAGGAAACAACAATTCTGAAGAAAAAGAATGAAGTACTGACGAAGGATCTTCAACGTCTTCAAAATAACAAGTCTCCTTTAGAAAAACAAATTTCGACTCCTGTCAATGCCGAGATGACGGAAACAGAAGCGAACTGCGATCAAAACGCTGATGAAACTGCAACGTCAAAAGGAATGAAGAAAAATGAAACTCACATTCTTAAAGAAATGATTGGCGAAGCCAAGGTTAAGGAAGAAAAAACCAGCAAAGTCAAGGAAAACGTTGGAGAAGTCGAGGCTTTGAAACAAGAAATCGGTTTCCTTCAGAACGAAGTAGAAGATTTGAGCGAAGAACATAAAGAGCTGTTGCAGTCTTATAACGGGTTGCAGAAAGAAAATGGCCGCTTGAAAGAGGAATTAAGCGCCCTTGAGAAGTGTATGGAGACTAAATCCAAAGATCAAGAAAAGATAATTCTGGAAAACGCTCAAATACGAGATGAGTTGAGACGTTTAAGAGAGGAATATGATTCACAAAAGCTAAAACTAGAACACGCAGAAAGAGAAATCCAAGATTTCGCTAAAGAAAATGAGGAACTACATCAGAATCACATTGACTTGGAAGAAAGGTACGGGCGCATCCGAAAACTAAACAGAGAATTGGAAGAAGATGTTGACATCGAAAGAAAATACCACGCAGAAGTGAAGAGCCGTAACGCGGAACTTAAAAAAGAAAATGCCCATCTAAGACAGCATATTGCAAAGTTACACCAGGAAGTTGACAAGCTTCAAGAAGCCTCCGAGACTAACCGTCGGGATCAAGGTGACGAGAACAAAAAAGCTCCTCAATTGGAGAAGAAGAAAAGCCTTGTTCAAATGAAGAAGGAGGAATTACAGGCAAGAGTGGCTGGAGAGAAGCCGAAGAGTTTTGGAGACGAGAACCGGAAGCTGAAGAGTCGCGTGGACAGCGTGAATGAGATTCACAAAGCGAAGCAACACGAAGGTGAGAGGACAATAGCATCGCTTGAAAAAGAAATAAAGAATCTTAGGTCCTCGAAAGAGCGAGTGGTCGCATTAGAAAAAGAGTTGAAACAACTTCAAGAGAAACTGGATTTAGAGGCAAAAAACGGGGACAACAAAGAAGAAGAGATAAAGCAGAAAAAGAAAGAAAATGATTCTTTGATCTACGAATTGGAAAGCACTCGCCACAGGCTTGTCTCGAATGTTCTTAATCCTTTAGAAGAAGCAAACCTTCCATGGGCGTTAAATGTCACGGCTGCTGATATTTCGGCGGGAAAAAATAAGAGCAAGGCGTGGTCGAACATCAAGGAGAATATTGTAGCTCTCATCCGGGACCGTGAGAGACTCGCAATTGAGAACACGTTTCTGCAGCAAGCGCCTTCTCGAATGAGTGAGGAAGCTCAAGAAACAAGCAAAGAATGCCAGGACTTGACGAAGGAGAGAAGAGAAAGTATCCAGGTAAGATTTCCTCAATTCTTTACATCGATGACTGGCTTAGATTTCCATGAAAAAAAGGGTGCTAAGTATGTCAGCAACTGTTTAACGAAGTGATATTACTATCGACGTAGCAGAACGAAACACTTTGTAGTCGCCTTGTTTAATTCTTCGACCATTGGGGTGTTAGGGATAAACATCCTAATGGTGGCGAATAGCCTTAAAAGTGATTTCATTGATGGAAAATTGACTTTTACATTAACTGACTGAGTGATCAGTTGAGTGAGTGAGTGAGTGAGTGAGTGACTGACTGACTGACTGACTGACTGACTGACGGAATAGTAATAGTATTGTTGCACTTCATACAGTCTTTAAAGATAACTGCTGGTCTACTTGCAATAAGAAAGACAATCTAAAAACTAAGAATTTAATGCAAAACAGGCGGACTGAGCATGACTGACTGACCGGCCTACCAAGCTTTCCAACCGATTGCCGACTGACTGCCGACTGGCTGAATGACTGACCACTGATCGACAGACAGACATAGAGCCTGCCTGAGTAACGGACTTACTAGCTGAATTACTCAATGACTGACCGACTGACTGCTTTTTGATTGATTGATTGATTTGTTGATTAATTCTGTGAAATTTTGTGAATTTTAACGTGGCTTTTCTTCAACCCTTTTAGAGCTTGGAAGGAATTTCCGACAAAGACATCTTAAGCAAAAAACAAGATCTAAACGTTCTTCACGACAAAATTGCCGCAGACAAAGAAAACCTGGCGTCAATTCAGAAGAGAAACAAACAATTGCTCCTTCAAATTGAGCTGATGAAGCGAATGCAGCATACTGCTGATCAAGAACGAGACAAGCTTGCGGCTCAGAAAAACCTCTTCGCTGCGACGGAAAGCAGGCTGGCACAGTTAAAGCTTCGTAGATTTCAGTCTGTAGAGAGTGTTTCATCCATCAAACATGGAGGTAGTCTTGAGCAGCAGGGCATGGACCCCATTCACGATTTCTTGCAAGAGGACGACATTGCGAGCAAACAGTCGCAAGAGCTAACGACGCAGTGGTCTGGAAAAGAAGAAGATGAACCCTCAAGAGAGGAACAGCTGGAAGTTACGAGGGAGTTGGTAAAGAAAAACCGACAAATATTCGAGCTGGAGCAGGTTGGTTACCATAGCAATATGCACCACGTTCATCACACAGAATGCACAAGAACACTGTTCGTTCGTAGACGTTGAACACCTGCACATGTCTTGGAAAGTTTCAAAGGCACTTACTTCTGTAATGAAATGGCACCAGCTTTGCAATGGCAGCACCGCAGCAAGAAAGTAACAGCTTACTGTATGAAAATTGCACTTAACTTTAATAAAGCACAGCTTTAAAAAGTAAAAGTAAAGCAATATAAAATGGAAGGCACTTGACGCTCTGCACTGAGGTACCTATACTCACCAGCAAGCACATTTGTTAAGACATGCACCCAGAAGCATGCACTACAGTCTGCACTACCGTCTGCACTACCGTCTGCACTACCGTCTGCACTACAGAATGCATTATGCAATATCCTCTGTGAAAGTTGACCATTTTAAGCACGTCAGTCACGTCTGTTAATTTAAATATAATCATTCGCCAGGGAACATAATTGCAATAACGTACAAGCAGGGGAATGCATGCATTGCAATGCATTAAAATTGCGAGACTTTNTTCTCTCTTAACTTTCACTACAAAAAAGAAGAACAACAGCACTCACTTTGTAATAAATAGCGCACTTAATAATACGCGACCACCTGCTTGACATCAAATATGTTCCAGGTATTTACCTTATATCCAGATACCCATTTTATTAACCTGGCAATCGATAGGCACTCTTAAGTACAGCATTTAATATACTTACATCTCTCTTTTCAGGAGGTCGACGTGTTGCTAGCAAAGATCGAAGAATCCTCTTGTGAACAACCAACGAAGGAAAAAATGTCTTCCGATGTAGAAAATTTCAAACTGGAAATACTGCGACTTGAAGGTGAAAACAAGAGGTTGAAAGAACTTGCTAACGATCCCTTGCTTGCATCGTCGCAGAAAAAAATCGAAACCTTAGAAGCCATGAATAACTTCTTAAAAAGCGAGAAAGAAGAATTGGTTCTGGAACTTGCTGCTAAAAATAAGAAAATCGAGATTTTGGAAAGGCGTGTGAAGGAGCTGACTGAAATGAGAACAAGCGCGGTCAATGGATCGAAAAATGGAATGTGTGACGAGGCTGATGACCAGATCAATGAACTAGACGTACAGCTCAGGAAGACAAAACACAGAGTAGCTGAACTGGAGGTGAGTGGTTGCAGTTCAAGATATGAATTCCCCTTACTGTCTGGTATGCTTATTTGTTTGTGCTACTTATGAGAATTTGGTGGTACATCAAGTCAATAATGTCCTAGTTGATGATTTTCTATATTCTCCTCATATGTCTACTTAATGATATATTGGATACCATAAGGAGAAATTGAATGTTAATCACTCTTGTAGATAAGCGTTATCGACGATTCTGCTTTTTGCAGCCCTTTGCTTATTACGGGCCGACCCCCATTGTTTTTGCCAGGCTTATGGAACAACAAATAGTATTCACAATACTTCCTTAATGTAAAAAAGTTTGTTTTTCCAAAATAGTCTACATTTACGGATATCAGTTCTGATCACCTCATCTCCCACATTCAGTTTAAGCAACAAATATGTCAAAAGCGTGGTTGCTGGAAAGTAGCATTGACAAGCTGAGAGAAAAGGGTATCAAAGAACAGAAGTAATCTTTGGAGAGCTTTAAACGATCGAAAAACTGCGCGATAGCTTGATGTTTTTTCTCAGCTGACTACCCGTGACACCAAGAAAGTGCATAAAACGCCCATCCTATCCAATCTACAGCGTAGCATTACTATTGCCGTGATAGCAGAAGCAAGATCTTTAATTTGCTTTTTTAAAAAAAAAAACTGTGCACATTTTCCTGGTGTAGGCCGAGCTTGAACACTCTAACAACAGCTATAACTCCAGACTGAGGAGAGAGCTGGACGAGATAGAGGCTAAGTGGACAAAACGACTCAGGTACGTCCTCAGTTTTTTATTTCCATCGCAGCTATTACTTGGGTCATCATTCAACGACTATGCAGAAACGTTGTGTGATGGCCTAAATGTCGGTTACGAAAGAACTTAACCGACCTTAGCTATTCCACAGTGCATTCAAGGAATTAAAAAAAAATAATGACAATACTTATTCTTGTTATTTCTGACCGATTGACAGCTAAAGAAATAGTTATCCAAGATTGCCGGATGATACCGTGGTGTTTTCTTAATGTACTTCATGCTTTATCAAGAAGAACTTAATTAATTTAAAAACAGTTAGAGAAGAATCTCGAACCTTGTAAGGAAAAGGGAACAACGGAAAAGGTTGCTGGAAGAGACATTGGGGATATGAGAAAAGGGAACAGGAAATGGGAAATGAGAAACGGGAAACGGGGAAACGACAACGGGAAACGGGAAACGGAAAACAGGAAGCGAGAAATAGGAATTGGAGATTGAAGAACGGGGGAACGGGAACTGGAACAAGAAATGTAGGGAGCTGGCTTGATTGCCAAAGATGAAATGACGAGCCACGTACAATGCATTATCAGTAAACTGAAGTTTCGTTGTATTTTCGTTTCAGGAAAGAATGCATGGAGCTTCAGTCAGAGTTGTCAGAGAAACACAACAAAGACAAACAACAGTGGCAGAAGAAGGAAGTGGAGCTACAGAACATAGTAAGTAGACTTCTGATTCACCTCAATCAAGTGAAACATACCATATATTTCTTAAAGTGTGTTTTTACAATTTAGTGAAGCTAAAATTCAGTTGCTTCATTTTTTACTTATCCAAGATTCGTCAAATGAAAATCGTGATGGACAAGAGACTAGGACAAGCCGAAATTGAACGGCGGAGACTGGAACAGCTGGTGAGTTCAAGATCGTCCAGTTTCCATGGCAGCACGGTTAGCCTCGATTCCAATTCCGATGATTCAGGGGAAAGTCCGACTCCAAAGCCAGAGACAAGTAGCGACATGCCTCAGCCGACCGGTGAGAAAGTGTTTTGAATGAAACTGTGTGCAAAGTCTTAAACTGGTTGAATAAATGATGCGATGAGTCTGTGAATAAAGAGTCTGAATCAGTGGCAACAAAAATAATAATAATGATAATAATCCGTTGGCTAAAAAACTATGGTGCTGCAAAGAAGGGCAACTGACCAACCAAAGAGTGAAGCTACCGTATGCAGACTTTCTTTGAACTTGAACTTGAATTTTATTTTGTTTTCTTACGTACAATTACAATTGCTTGGCCCCGCAACTAGTTCCAGAATTAATCGAGGCGGGAGCAAGAGTTTATTTTAAAAAGGAAATAAATTAAAAAAGTAATGATAATTTACAACAAAATCACAAATTAAAAGGTACAAGTAAAAAATAGAAACGACTACAGGTAACCGAAAGCAAAGTAACAACTTGTGCATACACACAAACAGTAGCAGCAAGCAGTAAGAGTGCACGTACGCAAGAGACTAGAATGCTATTATTTTAATATTAAAATAAAGTATGCCAATCAGAGAACTTCTGTATCAGTTGGGAGACTTAAATTCTTTAATGAACGTGGACTTTAAAACGCTTCCCCCCCC